TACTATCATCTGGGGAGTAAACAAATGGATGGAGATCTCTTTCCCTCCAACTCTGCCTTTCAAATAAAAAGCTATTAAAAATGCTGGCCTCCTCCCAGAAGGCTTGCTAGCTTTTAACATAGGAATAGGCTAGAGATTACCAATCCCTACCTCTCTGATAGATTTTAGCTTTATCAGGAGCAGGCTAGATAGGATCATAATTCCAGCCCTGGGGGGAGGGGGTTTGTCCTTGCCTGATTGGTTGTTAGCTTTTATTCCACTTGAGTATTTAAGACTGGCACTGGCAACTCCTCCAGGAAGCTAGGAAGACTGGCTCCTGGCTGCTGTGGCAGTCAATAAATCTTTGCTCACTGTCCCTGCAGAGCCAAGAGCGCCTCTTGTCTCCTAACACTGGATGCAGACACTGGATAGCAGGCATCCCAGCAGTCACTTACCTGATACCCATCCACCTCCTTAAAGCAAACCCTTTCCTGATTCCAGTTACTCTACTACCTACTCCACTTCTTTCTTATACACAAAAATTTGACAAATATTTTGTCTTCAACTTTTCTTCTTCAATCCATTCTAACTGCTCAACAATGTCAATGACTTCATATCGCTAAATCCAAGATTTCTTTCTTACCTTACCCAACTTTGCCACCCAGTCTTTATTTACATGGTGTTGGGGCAGGTGCCGTGGTGTAGCAGGTTCAACCTTTGTCTGCAGTGGCAGCATTCCATGTGGGACTTGGTCCAAGTCCTGGCTGCTCCACTTCTGATCTAGCTCCCTGGGAAAGCAGAAGGTTCAAGTACTTGGGCCCCTTGTCTAGGTGGGAGACAAGGAAGAAGCTCCTGGTTTGGGATCGGCCCTGCTCTGGCTGTTGGGTCCATTTGAGGAATGAACCAGCAGATGGAAGATCTGTCTCTTCCATTCTAACTCTGCCTTTCAAGCAAACAAAAACACTGTATGGCAAGATCTCCATTTCTGTTTCTCCAATTCTGCCTTTCCAATCAATATGCACATCTTTTGAAAATAATCTAAAGACAATGCCTAGAACAGAACACCATGTGGCTTGATTAAAGTTTGCCTTTTAAAAACTGATCTGCATTATAATTTGCCTCTAGGTATAAAAGATCAACCCAAATAATTTAAAAAAACTGGTTTATTCTGGTGAGGCTAAAATACACTCATTAAATTCCATCTAGTCTCAGAAAGCTTTGGTGAACACAAGAAACTTCGCAGGAACACCCTGAGCTTTGTCAAATCCTTTTTTGTAGACAATTGCTGTGAATTCAATCCACCCTTCTAGCCTGAAGAAAAATACAAAAGCACCTTATCACTAGGTGGAGACACCTGAGGGAACACTGCTTAGTCCCCCCTCCCCTTTTAGGGTGGAGACAGAAAGGTTTAATGAGGGCTGTTTGTTTTCCTTTTGGAGGTTTTGTTTTATTCTGGATAAAGGATGCAAATACAAGTCTTACCACTCTATGAATGTATAGGTGGTATTCACGTATGCACCTCCCAATAGGTTTGGCTTCAAAGGTGATTTTTATTGCTTAAATTTTAAAAACCTTTTAAAAATATAAAGTTTTCTTGAAATGCAGATAAAGAGGGAGGGACAGAGCACTTCCATTGTTGGATGGTTCACTCCTCAAAAGGCCTCTGGGCCAGGCCAAAGCCAGCAGCCTAGAACCCCATCAGTCTCCCATGTGGGTGGCAGAGGCCCAAGTACTTGGGTCATTTTTCTGCAGCTTTCCCAGGCACACTGTAAGAGAAGTGGAGACTCAAACCCACACCCCTGGGAGATGCCAGCATTGCAGGCAGGATCTTAACCCACTGCACCACAATGCCAGGCCCTTCAAAAAGTGAGGGGCCAGTGTTGTGGCACAGTGGGTTAAGTCGCTGCCTGTGGTGCCCCTATTCCGTGAGCACTGGTTGAGTCCTAGCTGCTTCACTTCCCTGATCCAGTTCCCAGTTACTGGGCAAAAGATGGCCCAAGTACATGGAGTTCCAGAGTTCCAGGCTCCTGGCTTCCGCCTGGCCCAGTCCCAGCTGTTTACAGCCATTTAGGGAGTGAACTAGGAGATAGAAGATAGCGTCAGTTTTTGTTACCAGTTGAGCATGATGGGGACAGGAGAATTCCTGCTATGAGGTTAAGTCACTGTCTAGGACAGAGAATGTAAAGGCAGTGTCAATTTTCAATTGATGCCATAGTTGGAAGAAGCTAGAACCAGATTTCTTAGATGGTGTATAGTTCAAAGCCATCTCATTAAAATACAAGTCATTTACCTCTTGCATTCAAATCAATAAAAAATTGAATACTAGTTGTGTTTGGCCACTGGGACACAACAGTCAAAATGTAACTGCCTTCATGGAGCTTCCTGCTTGTCAGAGGTTTTTGCAGCAGCAGGAGTCTAGGCATTAAACACTCTGGGGAAACAAATAAATTTGGCCCTGTAAGAGCGATAACTTGATCCTTCATGACCTCTCACACAACCTTTCTGGCAACAATTTATCCTGAGGGGACACAGAAATCGGAATTTTAGGGGTAAGCCTCATGGCAGCGGTTTAAGCTGCTGCCTGTGCTGCTGGCATCCCATTCAAAGGCTGGTACTCGGGTCCTGGGTTTGCCACTTCCAACCCAGCTTTCTGCTAACGTGCCTGGGAAAGCAGGATGGCCCAGGTCCTTGGGCCCCTGCCACCCTTGTGGGACCAGGATGGAGTTCCAGGTTTGTTTTTTTTTTTTTTTTAATTATTTTGAAAGGCAGAGAGATGGATCTTTCATTTGCTGGTTCACTCCCCAAATGGCTGCAACAGCCAGAGCTGGGCCGATCTGAGCCGATCTGAGCCAGGAGCTGCCTCCCAGGTGGGTACAGAGGCCCAAGGACTTCGACCACCATCCGCCAATAGCAAGGAGCTGGATCGGGAGTGGAGCAGCCGGGACTTGACCCGGCACCCATATGGGATGCTGGCACTGCAGCCGGCGCTTTAACCCAGGTTCTGGTCTTTGGCCCGGCCCTGTCCCGGTGGCCATTGAGGCATCGAACCAGTGGATTGGAGATGTCTCTCCCTAACTTGTTCAAATAAATCCTTTCACCTCTTTTCATGAGTTTCTCAGTCAAGGCCAAAGGCTATCTAATGCTTCTCTGGCCCCCCAGCCAAACTCCTGCAATCCTAACCTCCACTACTTTGTTCTTCAGTCCTCCGACCTTCCATCGAAACCCAAAGATCCCTTCATAGTACATGCCAAACAGCTGGCTGATCCGAGAGCCACAGTAGGTGCAGGGAGACCAATCAGACCAGTCCAGGTGTCAGTCATGGAAAGAGACAGCTGGATTAGACTTCTAATGAGTATACAAGACCTCACAACTCATTTACAAAGGCGCTGGCTATCAGGCTTCTGGCCGAACACGTGGTATACCGATGCTGGCGTTTGAGATGAGAACATTGATAACTTGGTGATGGAGCACGAGTCTTAGCAATAGGAACGTCCCAGACAAGCAAAAATTCGTTGGACAACTTCTGTTTGAGCCAAAAGCTAGACTTCGCTAACTCCTCTGCAGACACTACGAGTAGGTTCGTGCTAGTTATCAACGGTCATCTCGAACAACAGCGTGAGGAAGGACATGGGAAACCCACCACCCGCACAAGCGGTGTCAATCGCCGTCGCACCGGGCGTAAAGGAAGAAGGCGGCTGGGGCAAGTACAAGGCAAACTAGTCAACTGATGGCGGCTCTCAAAGAGCCAGTCGAGGAGCCCAGTTGGGCAAGCCTTCGAGCACGTGGCTCGCTGCGGCCTAACCCTGGGGCCAGAGCATCTACTCCAAAAGTGGTAACGCTGTGTCCCCGGACAGCGAGTCGCAGCCAGGGCTCTGTCACCGGCGCCGGAGCCCCACTCCCAGTCTTCCCCCCGGGACGACTCCGGGAGCCAGCTCCCTTCCCTCGACTCCGCATTCCCGTCCGCCGAAGCCAGCCTGGCCCCGGACCCAGGCTCGCCCACCCCCAAGCCTCCGCTCCCGATCCCCGGCTTTACCGCTATTCCAGTCAGCTGCAGCACGCCGCCTCGCACCTCAGCGAAGTCGCCTCTGCGTCCGCCTCTTCGCACTGCCACTCGGAGCTCCGACGCCCGCGCTTCACTCTGTGCTTCCCCGCCCCCGCGGCCCGCCTGCACCAATCAACGCCCGGATCTCCGTCGGACCAATCACCTCCCTCCGCCTCAACCAATCGTGCGGCGGCCTGCCCTAAACTGGGAGGTTGCTGCGTGCTGATGCCCAATTACCCGGATGGAACCCAAAGCCGGCCCACACTGCTAGCCAATAAGATTTCGGGAAGGCAGATGTTATTCATTGAGTTTGCACCTGCTGAGAATTCAACAGCCAATTAGAAGCTGCTTGGAGTCCTGTCAGGGCACCGCTAAGCCAATTTCGGATGAGGCTTCCGCCTCCTATGCCCTAGGGGAGGTTTAGCGGTCTCGAGGCGGGGTCCCAGGTGCGTGAGGTGTGAACCACTCAAGCATGTCGCTGTTAACACGAAATTGGACCCTTGTTTGAGTGATGTCATTCCACGACCCCGTGACCATTGGGGGAACAGCGTCATGCGTGGTGCCCCACCCCTTGTCTCTCTTCCCAGTTTTTGCGTGCATCGGTCTCCAATATCCAGACCGGGGCTCTGGAGACATTCAAAACATTCAACAACGGCACAATCATGGAAGTGGCTCTATCATGGGTGGAGATCGGGTCTGTGGGAAGGACCCATGCCTCGGGCGAGACTGGGACACGCGGTGTGGACCAAGGCAGACCCGGGTTCCCAGGGCGTGGTAAGGGAGCTGCGGGTCGCGCGGGCATCGGGGGCCCGCCCTCTCCTGGGGATTGATGGACACCTGTAGCGGCGGCAGGCGCCAGAGCCCGAGCCGGGAGTCTTCTGTGGGGACCAAAAGGCGATGGGTCTCGCAGGCGGCGGTTTGCTTTGGAAGACTGGATTCCAGCCGCCGTCTGGGTTCCCGGACCGTTAAGAACGGTTGGGCCCTGCTCCCGCCTCGGCGGCGGGGAGCTCGCGAGCCTGGCCCCGCGCCCCTCCGCGAACCCCGCACCCGCCCGGCGCGGCGGGCTCAACCCGGGGACCAGGGCTCCGCACGGACAGGTCTGCACTAACCACCTTCACGATGCCCGGTACATGATGAGCGCTCAATAAATGTTGAATGAACGCAAGATTTTATCTTTGGTCAATCAGGGAGATGGCGTTTAAGTTTCATTTATCCCCCTGAATTTTAAAAGTCAGCATTGGTTTCGAATAAACAAGTTCACTGTCTATAAAACTCAAATCAAAAAAAGGTTATTACAATTAATAGGTCTTTCCTTCAGAGACAGCCAATGCTGCCAGTTTGTGAGGTTTTCCACAAGCTATCCTACACCTAATATGCGTGCATACAAGTGTATACTCCCACCTAGATGACATATAGTGCATGCTATTTTTGCAGCTTCCTTTTTGATAATCTGAAACTGCATAGCAGCTCATACTGATCTGCTTCATAGTATGAATGTGAGCTATATTAATAATACTTGTTTAACCAATCCTTTAACATCTAGATATGCAAGCATATTTCATCTTACCCTTGTATGTTTATGTGAGTAATGATTAAAATGCATCTACTAAAGAAGTGTGTGCATTTTTTTAATTGGAAAGATACAATCTTGCAAATTCCCTTCTTCCACAAATTTTACATGGTAATTGAAATTTTATTTTTGTAAATTATCTGTTTATGTACTTTATTTGTTGTTGAATCTTGATTTCTGCTCTTTGTGTAAAGTTAAAAATGTTTTCCCGTTTTCCATTTGTCCTATGTCTTTATTTCGTTTCTGGTGATTTGTTGGGCAGGCAAATGGTTTAAATTTTTTAAAAAACTTTTTTATGTAGTTGAGCTTATCAGCAGTGTCTTTGATAACTTCTGAATTTCATATCAAATTTAGAAAAATCTCCCACTGCTTCATATTACTTTTTAAAATGCTTATGCTTTCCTTAAATGCTGTTGTAGTGTCTTTTTGTGTATATTCATAAATATTTTGTCTGAAATTTATTTGGTATAAAGATGTGAGATGGAGATCCAACCTTACTTTTTAAAAGATGCCTTGTTTATTTGAGAGGCAGAGAGAGAAACAGGGCGCGATAATGAGTTTCTACTTCATTGCCCTCACCCGATGTTTGCAACAGCTGGGTCTGCCTCACAGGTCCATGCCCATGCCCCGAAGCCCTCCACCCAGCAAGGGCCCACATCCATAAACACTCCAGGTGAGGGCCCAATGTCTCTCCTTTCCCCTCTAGGGCTATTGGTGGTGATGGGCTTTCTGGGAGGGGAATTCATGAAATTGCTACCAGGGCTTTGATCAGCAGTGTCCTTGACTCTAATAGCCCCCCTGGCACAGGGTGGGGGTGGAGTTCCTTGAACTGCCCCCAGGGTAACACACACCTAAAAGGTTACTGGACTTGAGAGAGACTTTTGATGTGCAAATGCTTGTTGGCTTCTGAGGCAGGCTTCTCTGCGTCTTCCCTCATTCAACCACAAGAAATCCATTTTTGTTATTCAACCATCTCACACACACAGGCTAGTATCTATCTGCCTTGCTACCTAACAAAAGAACATATGTGGAATTAGGAAATAGAGTGAGGGATATGTTAAGATTTGCTTTGCAGCAAAATGAAGATCCTTGTACAGTGATAAGAGGTTAATAGCAAGAAAGAAGTCCAGCGCTGCGGCTCACTAGGCTAATCCTCCGCCTTGTGGCGCCGGCACACCGGGTTCTAGTCCCGGTCGGGGCGCTGGATTCTGTCCCGGTTGCCCCTCTTCCAGGCCAGCTCTCTGCTGTGGCCAGGGAGTGCAGTGGAGGATGGCCCAAGTGCTTGGGCCCTGCACCCCATGGGAGACCAGGAGAAGCACCTGGCTCCTACCATCGGATCAGCGCGGTGCACCGGCCGCAGGGCGCCGGCCGCGGCGGCCATTGGAGGGTGAACCAACGACAAAGGAAGACCTTTCTCTCTGTCTCTCTCTCTCACTATCCACTCTGCCTGTAAAAAAAAAAAAAAAAGCAAGAAAGAAACTGCATCAGAAAAATGATAAGTGTTAGGGGGAAACATTGCAATGCTATAAATGGGGTCTCATGAGCCTTGGAGTTGGGCTAGGTCCTGCCTTGTTGGACTCCCTAGCATGCAGGTAGTAACTGAAGCTACAGATGTGGATGAAACTGCCCAAAGAGAATTGACTGACATGAGCAGTGGATAGAGGGCACAGTAAAACATGCCAAAACTCAGGATAATATAGGAGAAGGCAAGAGAAAGAGGGCACAGAAATGAAGCAGAGCTCTTGGAGGGAGCCTCTGCCTTGGTGCTAGAGAGTGGAGTGAGATGTGGCTTCGTGCTTGTCTCCTGGGCCGACTGCCTGGGAAGCATGGAGTTTGGTGAGGTGGCAAGCAGGGCAGAAGGGAATAGAAGTAGCCCTGGGTGAGGTGATCCCAATCACCGCGCATTTGGGACTTGCCATCTCGTTCCTCCTGCGAGAGCCCAAATCAGGATTGAAAGATGGAGCTGGGATTGCGTAAATTGCAAATGTCTTCATTCTCCCCAGTTCCTAAGAGTAAATTCTTTTTCCTTGAGGGGTGTTCTGAAGAGGCTCCACAAGGCAGTAGGTGAAACGAATTTACATATGGTCTGGGTTGCCCAGGGCAGTCGGTGGGCAGGTGTGTCCACTCAGTAAACAGAGGCGGGAAAGTGGACTTTACCAAGGGTTCTCACACACAGGCGGCCTGGCCGCAGAGCACGCACCCTGAGCCATTCTAACGATATCCAGCTGTTTCAGTCTTTGGGAAACAGCACACATCTCTCCTGATGCCCACTGCAGAAGTCACCGTTTCCTCTGCATTAATCAAGCCCCTCACAGAAGCCGGCAACTGGGAGCATGAGTGTTGTTGTTGTTGTTTTTTTTTTTTTTTTTTTTTTTTTTTTTGGTCTTGTTTTTAAAGATTTATTTGAAGGGTAGATTTACAAATGGAGAGATGGTCACTGCTAGGGTAGGGCCAGACAAAAGTCAGGAGCTTTTTCTGAGTCTCCCACATGAGTACAGGGGCTATTTTTAGGTGCTTTCTCAGGCACAGATCGGAAGTGGAGCAGTCAGGACTTGAACCTGTGCCCATATAGGATGCAAGCATCTTGGGCAGTGGCTTAACTTGCTATGCCATAGCGCTGGCCCGGGTTGGTGCTGCTATTCAGTCTTAGATGAGACTGATGAATTGGGACAGGTGTCCTAGGAGAGATTCTCTTTATCCTCTTCAGTCACTGTCACCCAGCGCTTCCTTCTTCGTTCCCCTCACAAAGCAGTTTGGAGGAACAGGGTTCAGGGGCTCCTGGTCTCAGGTGCTCGCCAACCTGAGTCATCCTCACACTCACCTCTCAGGGCAGGAGTCCCATCCACAGCCTCCTCCGCCCCCTGGGAGATGGGACTGGTGGTGGTAAGGGAGCTAAGTAAACGCTAGCCTATGTGTCCAACAAGGGGCCCCAGAAAATGAGAATTGTTTGGAAATGGGAATTTTTGTGAGAGGGAGACAAACCAGCATTTACTAGATCAAAAGTCTTGCCACCATTCCGTAATCTTGACGGGCGGGTCCCAGCCCTCTCCCTGGGGGCAGCTTAGGGGAATCTCATCTGCCCTTCACCAAGGATTCTATTATGAAGTCCTGGGAGGGATCTCACACCCAGCAATATCTCAGAGAGGGTGTCCCACACCCACATCCATGAAGACTCCAGTCTGAACACAGACCCACCTGGTATACTCTCTTCATTACTTGCATTCATCAAACCTGACTAGCATGCTTCCGGCTAATCTCTGTCTCCCGTCTGAATTCTCTTTTGCACAGACAAGAACCTCCACAAAGGCAGCTCCACTGGCAGTGGGAGCAGGGGACAGGGCGGGGAAAATGCTGGAGGCGGGAGGGTAGACCCTGCAAGGAAACACGGTTTTGCTTCCAGCATTTTCCCTGCTCTTTTTTTCCAACCTGGGCAGAGCCTTGATTGGATTTGCCTGCAGGATGTGGTATCTTGACACCCCTGCACATGGAATGTGGCCCACCCACTCGTGTCTCTCTGGCACCCAGATAGCAGCCTGTATGGTCAGTCACAGCTGAGCTAAAGGCAGCCTTCCCAGACAGGAAAGATAAGGGACAGCCTTGCTGGTGATTGGACAAGCTGTGGAATTTCTCATCCTAGTAACCTTGGTACAAGAACAGGCTTCACTCCTTAAAATATTATGGAAGAGCCTTGAAAAGAGAATAAGGGGCGGTAGTAGGGAATAAGATTGAATGTGTTCCTTGGGGGATAGTTTGTGCACCAAAGAGCGCTTAGTCTACACCTGGGATCACAGTATGTGATCTGTACTGTCACTGTAGCAGCCTGAGCACCTGCAAATTAATATGAAATTTGAAACAGATGGAAAACTTTCATGCATGTTTGGAGCAAACATAGTTTTTCAAGGTTGAATTTTAGGAAATCTAAGTACAGATAAAATATTTCTGACTAAAATTTAATGACTGAATTGAGATGTGTGAGAAGTATAAAATAAACACTCAATTTCAAAGGCTTGATATGAAAAACAGTGTTAAATATTTCATTAATTATTTTTATATAAGTATATATAAATATCTATTTTAAATACTAATTTTTATATATTTGGTAACTTATTCAAATGGTAATAGTTTGAGTGTGTTGGATTAAATAGAATATAGGAGTAAAATTAATTGTATCCATTTCATTTTGATTTTTAACAATTTTTTTCTTTTTTATTGGAAAGGCAGACAGGGAAAGAAGGAGAGACAGAGAGATCTTCCATTTGCTGGTTCACCCTCCAAATGCCCAGAACAGCTGGGGCTGGGTGAGGCTGAAGTTAGGAGCCCAGAATATCATCAGAGTCTCCCACATGGGTGGCTGCGAGCCAAGCACTTGAGCCATCATCTGCTGCCTTCCCGGGGATACAGAGGCCTGGTATTGATCCCAGGAACTCCAAAATGGGATCCAGGAGTCCCAAGCTGCATCCCAGCCACTAGGTCAAATGCCAGCCCCTCGTTTCCATTCCTCAAGTGTGGCTCCTAGGAAATGTGAATTGCCGATGTTTCTTGAATCCTGTCTCTATTGGGCAGCACTGCTGTGGACACTGAGAGGCTCTGGCTGCCTCTGCCCTTATCTGCAGTGCAGAGAGAGCAGCGAGTAAGAACATTCGGGACCCAAGTCCCAACCAGATATGCTAGTGCAGACGATGGGGAGGAGAGGAGGGCTGTGCCCTGGGAAAACTTTCTGGAACATTATAAACTGTAGAGGGGAAGGTTGCAGGGGTGCTGGGGGTGGGGGAGGTTGGAAACTCAGGGACACAGGCCTGTCGGGAACGCGGGTTTCTCCATTCTCACTCTCCAGACTTTGGGGTTCTCAGATTCACCTCTGGCCCTGGCTCCTGTTTAGAGCTTGTCTGCCCAGGAAGCCGGGCGGTGCTGCCTCAATGGCACCAGCTCCTTCTTGCCTGTCAGGGGCAGGCTGAGCTGGAAGTCTTCTAATGAGTGCAGTCCGCCCAGAGCAAGGACAGCAGCAGCGGGAATCAGCCAGGAGGCTCGGCGGCGTGTGTGCCAGCGGTTTGGCATCGGGGTGGGTGGGGGCTGCAGAGGGTGGAGGGGAACTGAGGACACAGGGCAGATGCTGCTGCGGAGAGAAAGGCTCCCCGGGGCCGCGTGATTCTCCCTTCTCTGTGGCTCCTCCCCTGCTGAGGAGGCTGAGCCTGTGGCCTGTCTCTCTGGTTCCCAGCACCCCCTGTTTGCCCTCTTTTTGAAGCACAGCCCCCCCCCACCTGGGGTGGGGAGTCTGCAGGTCCACGCCTTGCTCTGCTTCCTAGCCTGGGGTCCCCACACAGCTTCCAGATGGAGGGGCTGTGCTGAACGCAGGGCGGGGGTGGGGAGAGCAGCAGGAGGCTGTCCCTGCTGCATCCTCCTCGCTGCTGTCCTGGGTCTCTCTCCTTGGACAGCAGCCGAGTCTCACTTTTCTTAGTCACTTTCTTGGTGTTCCCTCCTGGTTTTCCCCCAAGGGCACTAGGGGTCTGTGACCCAGGACTGGCAGGGAGATCCCGGAGCGGGGAGCTGGGTATCCTAGGTTGGAAATTTTGCCTGGGAATCCCCTGCGTGGGGAGGATCCTGTCTGGCAGTGCCAGCGCCAGAGAGGAGAGCAGGTGGGAGACACCTGAGCGTGCTGACCCGCCCAGGGGCCTCCTTCCCCTGTTTGTCAGGCTGGGTTCCCTAGGGGCAAGGCCATGGGGGTACAGGATCAGTGGGCAGTGGTAGAGGGTAGGAGAGGGAAGAAATAGCCTGAAGTCAAGAAAATTCCAGAGCTCGTGTTTAGTTTTGGCTGCTACTGCTGCGGCCATTTGGCAGCCAGAGGAAGGTGACATAGGCTCATGCAGAGACAGCACTAAGTATCCTCCCACACCCCACGCCCCGCACCCTTGTCTCCTAAACCTCAGGGGCCCTGACTCTAGCTCCTTGCAGCAGGGGCCTGGAGCAGGCCTGGGCGCAGGGAGCAGAAAAGAAGGGTGGATGCCTGGTGGAGGAGCAGAGACTCCAGATGGAACCCCCAGCCCCCTCCAAAGTAAACGCAGCTGTGCCTGGCAAAGCTCGTATTGCTTATTAGAGGATCTAAGTGTGAGTGAGGAGAGCTCAATGGTTAGACCAGCAGACTGGTGCCTTGATTATGCTTCCCATGTAGGGGTGGATGGGGGTGGGGATATCAGAGGGAGGGCTGGTTTGACCGCAGACTCTGGATCTGCAGCTCCTGGGACCCTAGAGGAGCTGCCGCTGTCCTGAGACTGGAAAAGGCAGGGCACAGAGCCCCTCTCACAAGGCAGCACCAGCCGCTGGCGCAGGGCAGGCAGGACGAGGTGGAGGTCTGTGCCACTCGGGACTAGGTTCAGGTTCAAGTGGGCTTCCTTCCCCCTTTCCTCTGGCAGCTGAAGCAGACGTGGCTGGGTCGCTCGGGAGGAAGGAAAGGTCAGAAGAGCTTGGCAGTGACTCGATTGCCCCCAGAGTTCTTATCCCCAGAGGGCCGGGGCGCCACAAACTCAAAGGTCATGTGATGTTTGACGCGGCCCTTGCCCTTGCTCCAGAGGGCAATGAGGCCAAAGCAGAGGGTCACGGAGGTGAGGAAGGGGAGGAAGCCGACGGCCAGCACCATGGCCACGCCTCTGCCATCCAGGAAGAAAGGCCGAGGGACCCCTGGCATGGTGATGTTGGGGTCGGAGAGAGTGCCGTTCGGGGGCTCCACCTGGATCACCTCCAGCCAGGTCCTCAGGGAGTCATTCCCAGCCACGTTGCTGACCACACAGACATAGGCCCCTCGGTCCCGCAGCCGCACTGAACGGATCTCCAGCGTCCCGTCCTCTAGCACCCGGACTCTCCCGCCCCTTCCCAGCCAAGTCCCCTGAGGCCGCATCCAGGAGACCGTGGGGGCGGGGTCACCATCCCCAGAGCAGGAGAACATAGCGTGGCCCCCCTCCTCGGCAATGACCCACCGGGGCCCAGACTTCCGGATCAGGGCTGGTTGGCAGGTGAAGTGCCCTGGAGGCAGGATGTCGGAAAAGTCCCTCAGACTCTTCCCCTGGACATGCCGGGGGCCCGCACAGGCAGGGGGTGATGTGCCGAAGTCCAGGCGGCGGCGCAGCCGGAGCAGCCAGAGCAGGCGGCAGTCACAGGTCAGGGGGTTGCCGGACAGTCTCAGGGTGACCAGCTTGTCGGGGGAAGGGAAGGCCGCTTCTTCGAGCGTCTGGAGGGCGTTGTTTGCAACATCCAGGAGGTGGAAAGCGGTTAAGCCATGGAAGGCGTGGGCGGCGATGGAGGTGAGGCAGGCTCCTGACAGCCGGAGCTCCTGGAGCCGCACCAGGGGGCTGAGCCTTCGAGCTGGGATGGCCGAGATGGGGTTCTGAGACAGGTCCAGGACCCTGAGGAAGGTCAGGTGGTACAGTGCCTGGAAGGGCACTGAGCTCAGGTTGCAGTGGGTGATGGCCAGGCTGCTGAGGTTGAGCCCGGCCAGGCTGCCAGGGTCCAGAGCCTCCAGAGATGGCCAGTGGTGGATCTCCAGCTCCTTTAGCTGCCCCAGCCCCCGGAGGGCCCCCGCCGGCAGCCTCTCGATATCCAGTTCTCGAAGCCTTAGGTCCAGCAGGGACGGGAGACGGGCAAGGGCTAGGCCGGGCACCGTGCTGAGGTTACAGCGCTCCAGGGTGAGGGCGCTCAGCTTGGTCAGCCCTGCAAAGGCCCCCGGAGCCACGAACACCAGGTGATTGTCCCCAACTTCCAGCTGCTGCAGGCTGCCCAGCTCCGCAAAAGCCCCATCTAGGAAGAGGACGATCTGGTTGAGGCGGAGGTCCAGCAGTGTGAGGGCAGACAGGCCTAAGAAGACCCCCGGCCCCACGATTCGCAGACGATTGCCCTGCAGCCTCAGGGTGAGCAGACTTTGTAGGCCCTCGAAGGCCCCAGGTTCCAGGGTGGAGAGCTGGTTGTAGCTGAGGTCCAGTTCCCGGAGCAGGCCCAGGCGGGAGAGCATGCCCCGCTGAAGCCCCCACAGGCGGTTCCCACTCAGGTCCAGGAGCTCAGTGTCCAGTGGGAGGCCCCCCGGGACGGCCTCCAGTCGCCTGTGGCCACAGAGCACTGCCCGGGGTTGGGAGGCACAGTCGCACGGGGCAGGACAGCTGCCCCAGCTCCCCACAGGCAGGAGGAGCAGGAAGAGGAGGCGAGGCCAGGGGGGCCAGGCTCGCTTTGGAGCTGCAGCCGCATCCATGCCCTCTTCAGTCCTGGAACAGACGACGACATGGGCCCTTTTGGAACGGGACGTCAGACGCCGGCGCCCCTGGACTTCCCCTGGCCTTCCTCCGAGGGGGACACACATTGGTCTGTCCGTCTCAGCACTGCCAGCAAGCAGGGCACAGAACCAGGAAGAATTCTGGGGCACCACCTCCCTGGGGCTCTCTGGGGCTTCTCTTTGCGGAATCTCTCTCTTCCTCTCCCTCTCAGCCCTGGATCACTGGCGGAGAGCTTAGCAGCTCGTGGAACCCTGGGAAAGTTTGCCTTGTGTGGGGAAAGTTTTGTAGGAATAGGACAGGGAGCAGCAGGGCAGGAACTCCGAGGCTCAGGGATACCCCCAGGTCCCTCCTCCCAGACATCTGCTCCCCCGCCACCAGCAGCAGCCCTGCCCTGTCCCTCTCGGCCTGCTATGGTTCTACAGAGCTACGTACCTGTGTCTTTGCCTAAGCGTCGGGGAGATTGCATCCCTGGCCTGGAGCCCCCTGTCCCGACAGCAGAGAAGTCCTCACCTTGACTAAGTCACCCAAGGCTGGAAGCCGTGCAGGTCCCAGCTCTGCCCCCAGGCTGGCAGAGCCCGTGTCCCCAGAATGCCTGTGTGGAGGGCAGCCAAACTACGCATTAGCTGTGGCTCAGGATGCACACAGGGCGCAGGGACCACTGGACGTGGAAGCTGTGAATTCCTCCCAAGAGCCGCCGAGGGGCTCCCACAGACCAAGCTGCAGTGGGTGAGGGACCCAAGGGCTGCCTGGGCTCTGAGTTCCGTCGCTGGGTCCTCTTACATCTTTCTTCAGTGGTGCTTTCACACTGGCTCCGTGTGTGAAGCTCAGGGTGCACCCTTGTCCCCTTTGGCCTGGGCTTCCCCAGAATGCATGGGACCAACTGTGAACTGGGGAGGCTAAGATGAGAGAGGAGCAGCGGCATCGGAACAGATGTTGTGGGGTTGGGAGAGAGGAGCCCTGGGCTGGCACAGCAGGTGTCCGGGCACAGGAGTGTGCAGAACCTGCCCACTCACAGGGGGCTCCAGAAACCGGGGGGACCTGGGCAGTGGCAGGAAGGTGGCCATGAGGAGGACATAATAAAGAAGGGATTGAGGTGGCAAGAGTCTCCTGACTCACCCTGTCGAGCACCAGCAGGGACCCCAAAACGGGGAGGAAGTATTGGAATCGGCAAGGCGCAGTAGTCACCTGGGAGGCCACACATCCGGGCTTCTCCCAGGCTGCAGACCCTGACCACCACGGAGCTCTGGGGCTGCAGGCTCTCTCCACCGCGCGCCGTGTTTCCTCCCACGTGGAAATGCGGCGAGGCAGTTAGTCTACGAGCTGCTGTGATGCCTGCCCCTTCCCTCCCGCTCCAGGGCCGCCTGGTGGACACCCTACAGCACCTCAGAAGGTGGCAGCTTTGGGAAACTTAGAGAATGAGGCCGGACGCGCAGAGGGATGCGGGAAACCAGCTGAGGCTCCAGGCTGAGAAAGGACGGCTGGGGGTCCAGGCTGCTGCACACACCTCACAGGTACCCATGGCGCGGCAGGGCTAGCCAGGAGCTCTCCGGGGACAGAACTGCCCCAGCCTCCCTCCTCCTCCCCGTGCCTCTTCTGGGAAGTCCACCTGACAGCCGGCTCTCCATCACTGCCGCTGCGGTTCCTGCTCATCCCTGTTGCTCCGCACTCAGCACAAGTGCAGTGAGGCGTGTAACTCAGCCTCCTTCCTCCCTGCCCTGTGAATTTCCCCCTTGGCCCTCCAGCCTGCTAGGCCAGGGGCTGGGGACCGCGGGCCGACTGCTTTTATTGTAATAAGGTGGTTCCCTTTAGTCACAAACTTCCCTTGCCAATCCCTGTGGCCACAGGACTGGCTCCGGCCACTTTGCAGTTAGAGATAGGTGTCGGAACTACTGTCAGTGGGGTGGGGTCTAGGGCATCGCCCCGACAAAGACGGGGAGCTTTTTTTGTTGCCGGATGTGGCGGTCCAGAGACCCCGGTGAATAAGGATGTCCTCTTTAAAGCACAGCATATCAAGGCCCAAGGACCTGCATGGGAGGGAAGGGCGTCCCAGGGGAAAGATTTCTGGAACTTCCACCGTGACTGTGGGGAAAAACCCTTCCCTGGAGTAGGGGAGCCAGAGGGGAGGTCTCTTTGCCACACGTCTACCCGTGCACCTGGGACATTTCCTTCTCCCATTGAAGTCCTAGGGGGCCAGGATGAATGGCTGGCGGGTGCGGCGTGGGGGTAGGCGTGCAAAGCCTCCAGCCTTGGCAGGCACACAGGTCGCCAAGCCTGCTACGGGAAAGGGCAGCTGCGGCCACGGGACAGAGAGGAGGGGCACTTACCAGAGAAGCTGGAGGGTGGCATCAAGTTGGGCACCGCATCTGTCCAGGGCTGGGGCCCCCGGCCCATTCGAGCTGCACCTCAGGCCCCTGCACCTCCCCGGGTGCCTGGCTCCTGGCTCCCTGCTCCCCGCCTGCCTGCCTGCCTGCCTGCCTGCTTGCGGGCCGCTGCTGCTCCTGCTGCTGCTGCCACTGCCACTCACTGCCACTGCTGCTGCCAAGACCGAGGAGGAGAAAAGAGCCAGAAAGCATTTCTCTCTCCTCCTCTCTCTCCCTCTCTCCCTCTCCCTCTCTCTCTTTAAACCAGGCGAGAATGAGTCTGCAGCAACCCTGTTGGTGCAAAATAAATAAATAAAGCAACCAGAGAGGGCTGCAGCAAGCGCCACACAGGCTGGCGAAGGAGGGGGAGGAAGGAGAGAGGGAGGCTCTGGTGCTGGGAGGGGTCTGCAACAGAGGCAGCAGGGAGACTCAACAGGGTCTCAGGTCTCCCGCCCCCTCCCCGCCTAGCCCGGGCAAGTCACTTTCCGGAGGGCTGTCTTTAGGTGTCCCGGCTGCTGGGCGATTCTGTGCCACCTCTAAATCCGCGAGTCCCCTGTGGGTGTCATTTACGGCAAAGTTCTGGGTCATAGCCTCCCCTGCGGAGCTTCATTTGCGGCTCCTTCGGCGGGGGCTCCTAAGGATGCACCCGCCGCTGGGGAGGCTGCTCAGTCTGGGCAGAGGCTGGGGAGGGGGCCAGAATCCTTATGACCCTGCCCGATGGCTGAGCCTGAAGCCTGGATCTCAGTGCAGGAATGAGATGGGAGAGCAGGGTAGGGGGTAACAGTATTCAGGGTTGTTCCCCCCACCCCCTTAATCCACGCTCTCATACGCACACACAGCTCTTGCCTTCAGAATCACTTTATAAAGAACGGCACAAGTTGGGGTTTGTGTTTACCCAGTTAAAACCCTCCCCCGAGAGGAAGACCCCCACCCCCACCCCCATCGGCTGCAGCTTATCCCTTAGAGAAGGGTTCACGGCCATCAAGAAAGCCAAGAGAAGTTCTGGGGCAACATGGCAGCTGCAGAACTGGTCTCGGCCCTGTTCCCAGGGCTCTTTTGCCCTCCTGGGGGTCAGTGGGACCCGGTCACAGAGTGGTGGCGTCCCCTTTGTTGCCTTTCGCCACAACCAGAGCAAAGGCTGGAGGCCAGGGCCAAGAAAATCGTCCTTGGCCTTCCAACTGACCGGGTCAGCCATCTCTGCTTCTCCTGCTAGGAGCAGCTGGAGCTGGGGTGGACTCTGGTGTCCACCCCAGCTCTCAGACTGGCGGGCTGGAGCACCATGGGAATGTTCTGGGGTCCCTCAGGAATGGGACTTCCCCAGGGCCACGAGGCTCCCTGTGAGCCGTGACCTCCAGGATGAGAGACTGTTAAGGACTGTTAAGGACTACAGGAACGTCTGTGTGTGTTTCGCCTGTCTGTGGATGTACCTCTCTGATCAGATTGGTGCTAACCCTGAAGTCTATTTTTAAAGTGCAACTTAAGAGGTCTGAATTCTAACTCTATGTCTGTCTGTGATGCTCTTGGCCTTCATTGTACCCTACCCCGCCCCCCAAATCCCATAAAGCAATTATCCTGCCTTTCCCCTTCCCCTCATCCTCACCCTCCACGTATCCAGTTTTGTTTAGACCCAGGGTGCCCAACCACTTTCTTGCTGAGCTGGGAGGCAGGAGGAAGGCAGGTGTCTAAGGATCCAGATTCATATAGGTACTTCTGGGCCCCAGGTGCCCGTCTCTGAGCTTGATCCTTCTCCCCCAGCTGAAGCCCACGGGGAAACGCAATGAGGTATTTCAAAGGCCTATTCATAGCTTCTAAGCCCAGAGTTGAGTTCTGTTCATCCAGGGTGCCCTGGGTCCCCCATTCTCTTGAGGGCACCTTGGTCCTCCTAGAGGTCCTTGTACCCCCCCTCACTCCAGCCCACACCTCCCAGAAGCTGGGGGTGAAGGGTACGCAAAGTGAGAGACTAGATTGAGGCTGGAGACGGCGTTCCCCCCTCCTCACCCTCTGCTACTGTCCTGCTGCCAGGCCAGCGTCTGGGCTGCAAACCAGTCTCAGCGTTCGCTCACTCCCAAAAAAGAGGCAGGGAGCACACCTCCAGAGGAGACGGGACAGGAGGGGGCTGAGGGTAGAACGGGGTTCAGGGAGGCAGGCCGGCAGGCCGGCAGGCCACAGGCAGAGGAAGGGAGTCCCCACCCCCTGGGCGGGTCACTTGGACAGCCCCTCTGGGGGCTCGATCTCAGTGCTGAACAGTTCCTTGTAGAGTGGGGGGAAAGCAGCTTGGACCACGATGGGGTGGAGGTGCTGGAAGATTTGCAGCTTTTCCACGTGCTGGCTGCACAGGCTCCGGAGCCTCCCCTTGGGCGGCAGCTGCGGGTGAGTCAAGGAGGAAGGAGGGTCAGTCCTTGGCTTTCTCCAGAGAGCAGACAAGTCCTCCCACCCGTCAGAGAGCAGGCAAGTCCTCCCACCCGTCAGAGAGCAGACAAGTCCTCCCACCCGCTGAAGGCCGGGATGCCCCTTTGTGCTTGTTCCCCATGCACCTGTGTCACAGAACCCACTGGTGGAAGCAGGAATGTGTTTAGGAAACTAGAAGTGAGTGGGAGCTAACCCTGGGGTGGGCAAGCGTCTTCTGGGGGGGAAGCTGCATATCACCTGGCCGCCACTCCTGGGTGAACCTCGTTAAAGACCCTGGCTCGCACTCACACCCCTGAGACTGCCCAGCTTACAGGTGCACCTCTTCTTTCACTCACCTTCAAATGTCACCTCCTTCCTGAATACCTCCCTAACTATCCACTGCCTGGATTAAGGTTCCTCTCTCTGTGCGGCTTTTCCCACACTGTAGGGAAATGACCCAATTTACCCTCTGAAGCCTAGACTTAGGCTCCTTAAGTTAAGGCCCCGTCCCCCAACCCTCCTCTGAACCTGTCATAGTGCTTGGCACACAGCAAATGCTCAGTAACTGTGTGAACTAAACAGACTTTTCAAGCCGGCACCCAACACTGCAAGGCTTCAACCCACACTGACTGCGGGCACTCAGCCAAGGGACATGAAAACGGCATAGAAACCCGTGAGGAGTCAGAGGCAGGGAGACTGTGCTGGAGTAAGTTTAAAAATACCTCTCACTAGCTATGGCCTCCCTCCCCCTGGCTTAGTCTCCTAGGAATGCGACAGTCAGGGAAGAGCAGCCAGCATGGTGAGCCCTTCATGTCTCCTGAGTTCACCATCTTTTCATCTCAGCAGCTTTACTCTGAGTGCGTCTGGGCTGTTGCAATAGTTTCACTCATTTATTCATTCAGTAAGTCTTTGCCGGGAACGTACATGAATCTGGGCCAGGCGATACGACCCTCACTGCGGGAGATGACACCTTTACCTGTACTGAATTTACATCCTGGTGACGGAGCCAGAAAATAAACACAGACAACTGTGGGCCCCCTGATGACGACGCAGGAAAGAGACCGCGTATACTCCGGGGGGCTTCTAAGATTGCATCTCCTAGAGACGTCCTGGCCTTGGCCGAGGCCTCTGTGGCACTCCACGTGGGGGAGTTGTATGAGTCACTCTGTGACGTTTGCACAGAAGTCAGACCACCTAAGGATGTGTTTCTCAGCACACATCCCTGTTGCTAAGTGATGTATGACAGTATATAATATGTTGGATAATAAACTTCTTAAAAGAATTTATTTCAAAGGCAGAGAGACTGAGACAGAGACAGACACTCCCTAGACATCTGTGACAGTCAGGGCTGGGTCAGGCCAAAGCCAGCAGTCCAGAACTCCACCCAAATCTTCCCTGTGGGTGGCAGGGACCCAGCTACTTGAACTATCACTCACTGCCTCCCAGGTTGTGCATTAGCAGGAAGCCAAAATTGGGAGTAGAACCAAGACTTGAATCCCGTACTTTGATATAGGATGTGGGCGTTCCCAGTGGTGGCTTAACAGCTGCACCAACTAAAGCAGGGTATGGGGTGGAGAACCTTCTGTAGCTGGTTAGGAAAACCCTCTCCAAGATGAAGGGAGGGGGCAAGGCGTTTGGAAAAGGGGGTGGGGGTGGGGAGGGGTCCGACTCTCTAGGTAAGTGCAGCCGCAGCTACATAAGCCCTGAGACACCATGGAGCTTCCTGTGTTTCAGAAGATCAAGGAGGCCAGTGTGGTTGGAATGGGTGACTGACAGGGGCCGTGGAAGGTCGGGGGTTGGCTGTGACCCAGATTCTACATTTGACTCTGAGCACGAGGGGAAGGTATAGGAGGTTTGGGAACAAGAGCGGAACATAATACGATCACCATCGTGGGTGCTATAGGCAGGACAAGAGTGGACAGGGGTCAGATGATGAGGCCTCCGAACCTGCCGCAAGTGAGAGCTGACAGTGGGGGCGACACTGGGCAAGGGGATACGTTTTGAAAGTGGATCTACTATGGGCCGGCGCCGCAGCTCACTAGGCTAATCCTCCACCTTGCGGCTCCAGCACTCTAGGTTCTAGTCCTGGACAGGGCGCCGGATTCTGTCCTGGTTGCTCCTCTTCCAGTCCAGCTCTCTGCTGTGGCCCAGGAAGGCAGTGGAGGATGGCCCAAGTGCTTGGGCCCTGCACCCGCATGGGAGACCAGGAGAAGCACCTGGCTCCTGGCTTCGGATTGGCGCAGTGCGCCGGCCACAGCGCGCCAGCTGGCCGTAGTGGCCATTTGGGGGGTGAACCAATGGAAAAAGAAGACCTTTCTCTCTGTCTCTCTCTCACTGTCTAACTCTGCCTGTCAAAAAAAAAAAAAAAAAAAAAGTGGATCCACTAGATGGGCTTTCCAAGTGCTCTCTCAGGTCCCATCTCTCCTCGTCCTAATCCACCCTGTAGTGAAGTTCAAGATCTTTAGGGCAGAAACAGGGTCACTTCTGTGTTCTCGGTACCTAGTGCTGTGCCCAGCATGTAGCAAAGGCCTGGATGAGTGACGGTACAACTGTGGCTTCATGGCTTCACACTGGTCCCACAGTCAATTGTCTGAACAAGAGCTCTGTGTCACGCCTCTAGACTTTGGGGTGTCCCACTGCCCAGGAATACAGCCTTAACCCTTGAACGTGGCATGGAATGTTGATTTGCCCTTCACTTAATTTTCAGACTTATCTTCTGTTACTCTTCTCTCCCATTAATCTGTCCCAACTCCTGGCCTTACACTTTGGTAAAAATGTACCACAACTATTCTCTATGTATGCACTATTTTGCTGCCTATTTTTTTATCACATCGTCTCCATAAGCCAGGAATGCCCACCTCGCCCCAGCAAATCCTGGTTGAAAGAGGTTTTATGGCCTGATGCCTGGTTTAAATGATGCCTTCTCTAACAAGCATGTATGACCCGCTCCTTTTACCCCGAGATTATTTTGTTTTGTTTTATTTTTTTGTTTTTGTTTTTGTTTTTTGACAGGCAGAGTTAGACAGTGAGAGAGAGAGAGAAAAGTCTTCCTTTCCGTTGGTTTACCCCCGAAATGGCCGCTACGGCTGGTGCGCTGCGGCCGGTGTGCTGCGCCGATCTAAAGCCAGGAGCCAGGTGCTTCTTCCTGGTTTCCCATGAGGGTGCAGGGCCCAAGGACTTGGACCACCCTCCACTGCCCTCCTGGACCACAGCAGAGAGCTGGACTGGAAGAGGAGCAGAATCCGGGACAGAACCGGTGCTCCAACTGGGACTAGAACCCGGGGTGCTGGCAATGCAGGTGCAGGATTAGCCAAGTGAGCCTCGGCACCAGCCCCGAGATTTGTTTTAATCCCTGTTCTATTCTCTCTCACACACCATCTTCCTAGCATGTCTTATGGTAACATAGGGAGGGGCAGAGGGACAGCAGGAAAGAGTACCAGGATCACATCTTGCATTTGTCACTTAATGAATTATATGAACAAGTCACTGAAGTCTCCTCATGACTACAGGGAGATTTTAACCCTTAACCTAAGGGCAGAGCTGCTATGAAGAAGACCCAGCCCGGCGCTGAAAGTGCCAATTGGATGTTACTATATTACACAGCACATCTCTATCAGAGTTGCTGGTACCAGCCTCTTCTTCATTCCCGGTTAGAATCTCTTGGTGAGGCCAGGACTGGATCTCTGTATCTTTCCACAGTGCCTGTGCAAGCAGGTGCTGGGTAAGCGTTGGCTATATTAAACTGAATTGTTCCCTGGAGAGCCCTTGCCGTTCCAGGCTCTCTAACGTTCTGTCTTGAGGCACATGGAAGTAGCTGCTCATTTCCTCCGTTCCCAGCGCTGTTGCAAGCTGTGGGCCTCCGCACTCCCTCCCCTGCACCGCAGACCCTGGCCCTCGCAAGCCCTGACGTCACCGAGCCTCTGGCACCGGGCCTGCCCCTACCTTTGCCAGGATGCCTTGACGATGAGTCTTGCAGAGATGGTGGTGAAAGGCCAGCTCTAGATTGCTCTGCAGCTGTTCCACTTTCCTTCTCTCTTGGAGCCCCGGCCGGCCTGGAGAAGGGCATGGGACCAAAGTGAGAACAGAAAAGGGCATGGAGGTGAACTTCCAGCTACAGGGTGTACCTCTGTGGACATCTGTGCAGGATGGAGGCCCTCCCAGCTGCAGTGTGTGTGTGTCTCAGGTTGATAATGGTCAACTCCAGGACCTTGAGTTTGGTTTGTTTGTCTACCCGGGGAAAACCGGAGAGAGGTGAAAAGGATGGGGACTCCGACCTCCTATCTCCCAGCTGCCTGACATTTCACGCAGCCCCTTCAGGGCTGAGTGATGGGATTCTGCCGTGGTGCCGGGGAGAGGCTGGAAGAAAGCCCCCTTCACCCCTACCAGGAATGGCTCCAGTTAGGAGGCGGCCTTCCTGAAGCCACCCAGGCCAGCGGCAGGGCCTCTGCAGCTGTCTCGTGGCCAACTCCAACACACAAACCACCTTCTGCCCTGGTTCCTTACAGTACCCAGAAGTGTTCATTTCCAACCCGAGGGGCGTGTTCAGGTCTCCGCTCACTGGCGGGGCTAGAGAACTGCTACTCCTGGTGGGCAGCCCCGCCCACTTCCCTGGGGGGTGGCTGAATACTTGACCTTGGGCCGCTGGGACCAGTCCAGCCCAGCCCACTCTGTTAACACCAGTGCACACAGAGAAGTGATTCCCAATCTTGGTGGCCTGGAGGTGGCTGTTCAAAGTCCAGGTGAATCCCAGGATCGGTGACATGGGAATGCAGGCAGCTCCCCAGGTGACCCCAGGGTGTGCCACAAGGGACTCTGGCGTAGGCCAGGAGTCAGACAATTCCTACCAGGGAAGTAGCTCATTTCCTGTCGGCCTCACTTCTCACCCCTTCTACCACCCTGTTTGTGCCGCTCTTGTTTTATTGTGCAGCAGTATGGGGGAGGGGGCTCCTTCTGGCTACCAATGAGTGTGGTGTCTGCCCTTCCCCGAGCCCAGCCACTCACTGGCGTTGATGAGAACAAGCGCCGTGTAGAGGGCAATCTCATCCTCGGAAAATCGCAAGGCGCTGAGCGAGCGGGAGAAGTCAAAGATGGAGCTGATGAGCTCGCTGCAGCCTGCGGGAGCGGGGAGGGGAGGGTGAGCAGGGAGCCAGCACCGCGGTAGCCGAGGACGCCGCCCTCCCGGTGCGCGGGAGCCCGGGGGCTGGCTGGGCCCTGCCCAGGGCGGCGTCCTGGCCCCAAGCTTGGAGCGGGCCTCGGAATCTTCTCTCGGGTTCCCCCCTGCCTCCTCACCCAAGGCTCGGAACAGTTCCATGCCACCGTATTTGCCTTCGAAAAAGACTGTGTGGTTGTCGGCGTTGTAGGCCCTGCACATTCTGACCAGCACCACTTCCATAGCTCCTGGGAGATGGAGGCAAGACGTAGGGGTGGGGTAAAGCAAAGCCCTGGACGCCACCGCCGCCCCTCCACTGGGCCCCGCCCTGCCCTGTGCCCTCAGCGCCCAGCAGCCCCGGCCGCAGGCCCCGCCCACGCCCCCCCCCACCCCCACCTCCAGGCACCTGCTTTGAGGAGCACGATCTGGTCGTTCTGGCAGAGCTCCATGAAGCCCGAGAGCCTCTTGGCGAACTCCACCACGTACTGGATGGCCTCAGTGAGGTGGTGGGCGCAGCGTTCCCACATCTCCCACACGGACTGGGGGGAGGGGAGGGGAGCTCGCCAGTGCTCTCTGGTAGGACTCTGGGAGCCCCAGCTAAGGACCTGCAGGGGGTGGGTCCTAAACTGCACATTCCCAGTACAGAGGCACGGAGGGGTCACTTCCTGTCAGTCAGCCCCCTGCTCCCGCTGCTGACACCAGTTAGCTGTTTAGCCTGAGATGCAGCTTTGCCTTTCAACTATTTGCATCTTGTTAAGGTGGAAAGGATACACTTCCTCCCTTCCCTCCCTCCCCAAGAGGACATACCCAAGGTGTTAATAACCTAAAGAAACACATGTGAAATGCCACAGGAGTGCTTTCAGAGCAGGTGGCATTGTCACTTTGGAGCCCATTGGAGCTGAATTTAACCTTGGCTCAACCACACTGTGACCTTGAGTAGGACTTAACCCCTGTGAGCCCGATTTCCCAGTCCTATTAAAAATAGGACTAACAACCACCCTCATAGGTTGATTACCGTAAGGGTTGTGGATAATTTATATAGAGCATTTGGCTGGCAGATAAAGGGTGTTTAACAAATGGTAACCGGGGTTCTTTTTGTGGTTATCATGGATGCAGGCAGGAGGAGGAAGGAGAGAACACCAAGGCCCCCCTCCCACCCCTCATGGCTGGTGTGGGGGTTGGAGGGATGGGTGGGGCGTGGAGAAGGTAGGTCGAAGGTTGGGTAAAATTTCAGCAGGCAAGGGCTAAGAAAAAGCTCTCACCCATCTGCTAGGGTGCAGACAGACACGCCCAGCCCGGACCAGATGCCTGCTGGCCAGCCTGTGTCTCTATGACGCCCTGCCCCGCCCCCACCACATGTGCACTGGTAGCCATTTCTGGGGTCTCCCAGTGGTGAGGAGATGTCCTCCCGGGCCTCACCTGCCTCTGGTAGCCGGTCACCTCCTCCCGGGAGAAGACGTTGGAACGCTGCCGGAGCAGGTCCTCCAGCCGCAGCTGACAAGTCTCTCTGTAGGACTTACAAACGTTCTGCACCAGGTGCTCTGGGCCAGACAAGAAAGGCACAGCTGGGCCTGAGCCAGCTCCTGTCCCTACCTGGACAAGGGCACTTCTCCACCTGGCCTCCCCTGTCTACCTCCTCCCTCTGCCCCTCGTCCAGCGGCCCTCCCCTCCCCGGGGGCTCAGGGTCTGGGTGGGTGGATTGATTGATTTGGGCTGCTGGCAGAAGCCCCTCCCTCCTCTCCAGCTCACCTATCTCTGTCAGGGAAGCATAAGGCGCCTCTGGGGTGCTGCAGAAACCGGGGCTGCTGTAGCTCTCTGAGCCCTGGCCTGGCTCCCCGAGCCCAGGATGCCTGGGTTGCTCAAAGTGAAGTCCACATCTGTCAGGGGTCAGCTGGCTGCCTGTGCCAAAGAAGCCCTCTCTGCCCTCAGCCTTGCCCCGCTCAGGGCTGTATTCAAGGTGGTATGAAGCCCCGTCGAGCTCGGGCTTGGCCAAGTTGCTGGAATGCGAGGGCCCAGAGCCCGAGGCTCTCAGGAGGCCTGGGGGACAGGCAGAGGCCTCGGGCAGGTCAGGCGAGGCACCCAGGGGCAGCTGCCCATCCGGGAGCCCCAGGGTATAGGTGAGGGCGTCCGCTCCTTGGCCTCCCTCTGGAGGGGTCTTGGCTGCTTGTTCCTGCTGCTGCTGTAGCTGTTTCTGCACTTCTGCGTGCAGGCTGTCCCTCTGCTTCTTGGACATGCGGCCGAATTTGACAGCTGAAGGAGTCCAGGGGTCAGGAGTGGAGGAGGCAAGAGGACCCGGTAAGGGGCAGGGGCCAGGGGCACTTGGGTGGTGACAGGAGTCACCTCCCGCTCCCTGCTGTCCCAAGACTCTCCCCACAGCCCAGGTTGCCCTCTGCCCCGTGGCGGTGGCAGGGCGGGGGGCATCTGTCCAGCCCGCCCTTTCCACCTCCAGGGCAAGTTCTGAATCCTAAACCAGTGGCTAACAGTGCCAGGACACAAGCCACCGAGCCCAGCCCGGGATCCCGGCCACCACAGATCAGGGCTGGGGAATGGTTGGGTAGGGGGGGACATTGGGCTGTATTGGGGTCACCTTGCCTTCTGGGAGGGTCGGAGGAAGAGGAGAGCTGAGCACACAGGTCTCCCTGTGGTCAGGCCTCCTGCTGCCTGGTGACCTACATACTCACCACAGCCCAACCCGGCCTCCGCGGCTTCTTTCTGAACATCCTCTTCTGCTCTCTCTTTCCTGCCTTTTCACTCCCCCGGCCACCCCTCCCAGTGTTGGGGCACAGCCCCTCGCCCCGCCTGCCCCCGTGCACCCCTGCGTGTTTCCTTTCGCTTTGTTATTTCGGGCACTGAAAAGTGCTGACAGCCTCCTTCTGGCTCCTCATCACCCCGTGCCTCCCCCAGCCCCGCCCTGGGCTTCTTCTGCAGCGGCTTTGGGGGGGGGGCGTGTGGGGAGGGATGCTGGTCAGAGGTGGGGGGAGAGAGGGCGGGCAGATCAGGAGCAGAGCGAGGAACGCGGGCCGCCCCGCCCCCACGCCTGCGGTTGCTCTCTGGCTGGCTCCCGTTCTGTCCTGTGTCCTCAGATGAGAACTGGGCAGGGGTGGGGGGTGGACAGGAAGGGAGAGGGTGCTGGAACCAGAGCAATGAGGCAGGAGGGGAATTCGAGGAAACTGGATGGGAGCTGGGCCTTAGGAAGAAGAGCTGGAGGGGTCTGGGGCCTTGGAATAAAGAGGTTTGTTCTAGAGGAAGCTGAAACTGGGGACCGGGAAGAGCTCCCGGGGAGCTGACTGGCCCGTCCCCACGGTGGAAGAGGCTGTCGGAGGAGGAGGAGTGGAGAGCAGTCGTGTCTGCAGGTTAAGCCCCACCTGACACGACAGGCCAGGCTGCCCCTCTGAGGACGGCAGGGAAACCCCACGGGGGCTGCCCACTCGGCCTCACCGTCTCGGGACATGCCCAGGGCCAGGCATTTCTGCAGGCGGCAATGCTGGCACCGGTTGCGGCTGGTGCGGTCGATGGGGCAGTTCTGCTGACGGGTGCAGGAGTAGGCCACGTGACACTGCTGGCTCCGGCGGAAGAAGCCCTGTAGGGGACAGGTGGATGCCGGGGCTGCCGCGTCCCGAGGGCATCCAGCCCACAGGCATGGGCCCCTGCTCTTCTTTTTAAATCTGCTTTTTTTTTTTTTTTTTTTTTTTTTTTTTTTTTTTTTTACAGGCAGAGTGGACAGTGAGAGAGAGAGACAGAGAGAAAGGTCTTCCTTTGTCGTTGGTTCACACTCCAATGGCCGCCGCGGCCGGCGTGCTGCGGCTGGCGCACCGCACTGATCCGATGGTAGGAGCCAGGTACTTATCCTGGTCTTCCATGGGGTGCAGGGCCCAAGCACTTGGGCCATCCTCCACTGCACTCCCGGGCCACAGCAGAGAGCTGGCCTGGAAGAGGGGCAACCAGGACAGAATCCGGCGCCCCGACCGGGACTAGAACCCAGTGTGCCAGTGCCGCAAGGCGGAGGATTAGCCTAGTGAGCCGCGGCACCGGCCTAAATCTGCTCTTAATTGACACCTAATAATTGCATCTATTGTGGAATAATTTGACTTGTGCATCTAATGTGTAATGATTAAATCAGGGTGTTTGGCATTTCCCACTTCTTAAACACTTCCCACTTGATGCTTAGAGCCTACGAACTCTTGTCTTTATAAAATACTTAAACTGTCCCAAAACAGTCACCCCATTGAGCTGGGTGAACTTACTCCTCGGATCGCAGGGTATGGCGGTACCCGCTCTCTGACCTTCCTCCACGTCCCCTCTCCTCACCCTGCCTCCACTATTCTGTTCTGTCTCCTACCAGATCAACGTCTTCAGCTTCCATGCATGAGCCTATGGCGCTTTCTGTGCCCTGGCCCCATTTTTCTACATCTTGTGCACTGTGGGATTTTTTTCCTCCTTCATTTCTTTTTTTAAATTTTTTTTTCCAGGCAGAGTGGACAGTGAGAGAGAGAGAGACAGAGAGAGAGAGAGAGAGAGAGAGAGAGAGAAAGGTCTTCTTTTGCCGTTGGTTTACCCTCCAATGGCTGCTGCGGCCAGCGTACCACGCTGATCCAATGGCAGGAGCCAGGTGCTTCTCCTGGTCTCCCATGGGGTGCAGGGCCCAAGCACTTGGGCCATCCTCCACTGCACTCCCTGGCCACAGCAGAGAGCTGGCCTGGAAGAGGGGCAACCGGGACAGAATCCGGCGCCCCGACTGGGACTAGAACCCGGTGTGCTGGCGCCGCAACGCAGAGGATTAGCCTAGTGAGCCGTGGCGCTGGCCCTCCTTCATTTCTTTGCAGTTTGTCCTGCAAGCACTTCCCCGGCTCAAGAAAGGACCCTTCCTGTGCCCCAGGCCCTCCAGGGGGGCCCCATGCAGGCGGCTCCCTATTGGCTCCATGGAATGGTCATCTCTGGAATGAGAATAATGACCATTGAGAGCCCAGGTCTGTCTCAGATGAGATGTGTCTGCGCATGCGTGCGTGTGCATATGTGCTGCTGATATATGCAACTCACCTTGCACCCCTCGCAGGTGATAACCCCGTAGTGGATCCCAGACGACTTGTCCCCACAGATTTTGCAGGGGATCACTTCAATTTGCGCTGGAAGAAAGAGGAGTAGCTCAGCCCAGGAGCCATTTTTGCCTTCCACCTCTGTGGACCTGGGCTGCAGACACACACAGGTGCCTGGAGCCTCTCTCACTCCTCACCCCCCAACCCCCAGCCCCAGCTTGCTGTCTCCTCCCACAAAGTGGAGGGGAAGTGAAGTGCCCAGTGCTTCTCAGCAGGGGTCTGGGGAGGCAGCTTTCTGTCCCTTGGAGGAGGGGTTGCAGGGGGACAGCGGGAGCTGTGTCAGCCCCGCGGAGGCAGAGAAGGCAGCTGCAGCCAGGCCACCTGCTCAGCCCTTCAAGTTGAAACGCTCGGGTTGCCTCCCTCCCGCCCTGGGACCTGGGAGTCTTCACCGCCTCACAACACCTGCTTCCCGCCCAAAGGGGCTTCCTTTGTGCCTCCCTCCCCCACTGGGGCTGGGGCTCCTGCCAGGGCCAGAATGGGGGCATGGCAGGATGATGGGGTACTCTGGGCAGGAGGCAACCGGAGGCCAGAAAAAGATTTCAGCCATTCCCAGCCAGACAGGGAAGGCTCAGAGACCAGGATCAGGGGAGCAGGGTTCCCCAAGTCGGGTGCAGAGAGGGTGGGAAGAAGCTGGAGACGGAGCCCCGAGAGTGGGGCTCAACAACCCGGCTCTGTTGGGTGCCTGTGAGCCCAGGGTGAGACTCCCATAGGGCTCTGGGCGCTTGGCCCACAGTGCAGAGCAGGTGGCTTTGGATGTGGCAGTGAACAGGAAGGCGCCTGTGTCAACTGTGTGGACACATGCATAGGCGTGGGCTAAAGCCACCTCTTTTGACCTCTTCACCCTACAGATGAGGGACTGAGCCAGCTGGACAGGGCGCTGGCCGGGTTCACCCAGCAAGTACGCCCGAGAGCCACTCTGCATCCCACCTCTCCTGAGCTTTCTGCTGTGCTGTTCCATGGACTTTGCTCTGGGGATACATGTCAGTGGACATGTTTGAAGGTGTCTGTGTGTGTGTGTGTGTGTGTGTGTGTACACACGATTTGTGAGTGCATGGCATGTGTGTTTACTAGCCTTGGCTCAGTGGGCACTGGGACCCCCTGTTTCTCTCTCCCACTGAGCTCACAGTCACTGTGCCTGCTCCGTGCCCCGCTGTCTGCTGCTGGCCCTTGCTCATCTCTGCTTTGCCCTGTACCTGTCAGTGCTCTCGGCTCGCCCCACTGAGTGTCAAGGGACAAGCAGGAGGCCCTCTCCCAACCCATCCTTGGAAGGCACCTGCGCAGGACTTGGGGTCCCTGGCTGCTCTCTCTGCTTCTAAGGCCACTTGAGGCTCTCTTACACCAACTCTGACCGGCTGGCTCCCCTCTGAGCTGAGAGGCCTGGGGCGGAGTCCTGTGAACTGTGTCCCACTCAACAGACAGAGGGACGTGCAGCCCCTGCTGGACACAAACCCACCTCCCTATATATATGCTCACCTCCAGCCCCAGGCCTGCCCTGGCCACATATGGGATGCCTGATGAGAGGTGAGGAGGGAGAGCATGGCTTGCCCAGCACTCTCCCAGATACTGTCTCCATCATCCTTAAACAGTCATCTCCTCAGGCTGGCCCTGTGCTGCGTCAGAGCCAGTGGTGGCCTCCTCACGGGGACAGGGAGCATGGGCTTCGGAGGCCCCTCCTGTGGAGCTCCGTTCCTTCCCCTCCCCCAAGCCATGCTTGCTTGCCTGACACCCCCGCAGTAAGCTGTGGTCACCCCAAGACCAGAGAGCGAGTGAGCCTCTCAGATTCTTTCCAGGAAGCTTAGCAACGGATTGTATGCCCGGAGGGGAGGAGCGAACCAGAGGGGATTGGGTGCCTGAAAGAGAAGTGGAAAATGTGGGGGCACCGGCACTTCGAGTCACTTCGATGCTCTCCCTCTGAGCCTCAGTCAGGCCCTCTGCCAGTAAGACAACGGCAAAAGCAACACTGCCCATTGATGGAGGGATTGTGGGAAGAACAGAGTAGTTAGCGCACGGTTTCGTCAGCAGAGAGTACTGTGTGTGCCGGTCACTGCTACGGATGGGGATGGACAGAGAGAAGGCAAGAAACCCTGGCCGAGTCCGCCAGGGCTTGCTCTTGCCCGGCACCCTGCCCCCAGCCCCCAGCCCTGTGGTATCTCTCTCCTCCGTGGCTCTAAGACCAGAGTGTGTGTGGGGGGGAAACCAACATGGGTCACCCAAAAAAGTAAGCGGGAGGGAGATTAGGCCAAGCCACAGTGGGAACTCAGGCTCCGGCCCAGCAGCCAACCACAGGCCTCCCTGCCTCTTCCCTTCTCCAAGAGCCACATCCGTGTGCGTGTGTGCGCTCACCACACAGGTGACCCCAGACACATCTCCCTGACCCACGCCTGACCCACCGCTTGTTCTGGCCCTAGGAACCGTACAGCTGTGTCGCCCAGGCCCTGCCCTTCTAGAGGGAAGACGAAGCCAGCCAAGGACCCCCTCCACAGAGACCCTTGTTTGGAGGACGCCAGCCACCAGGAAAGCCCCTCCTCCTCCATCCTCTCAACCACAGGCCAAGACAGAAGTGTACAGTAAGACAGGCACCAGACCCTCTAGCCTCTCTGAGCTAGAGAAAACAGAGACCTAGAGTTGGACAGAAAGCCGCCGAAACGCGGAAAAACCCATACTCGCGTCCTGGCCCTGTGCCCAGCCGGCAGCTCCCTCAGCCCCAGCAGCCCTCCTGTCCTCTTCCCTCCTCCCTCCTCCCCTCCCTGCCACCTGTACACCCTTCAGTGCCATCTACCCCAAACCTCAAAGACAAACTTCCTAGTGCACGTGTGTGTGTGTGTGTGTGTGTGTGATTGGGAGGGGAGGGGAGAGGGGCTGGGGCAGGGCCGGGGCTGGGGGAGGGTGGCCGGAGGTGAGAGTCGCTGAAAAACACCTCTGGAAACTCACCTTCAAGACCCAGCCCTGTGAGCCACGCTCCTGCAGGTGGTGGGAACCCAGACTGGGGAGAGGGAGCTGAGTAATCGCAGGATTACTCAAACTGTTGCCCGGGAGCCTGGCCTGCCAGGAACTTACCATCTCAGGGCCTGATGGTGCCAGGAACTAGAACCAGGCAAAGGTCAGGAAGCTCCGAACCAGCCCCTGCCTCATGGGCTCCCACAGCAGCCTGATTCCTGCCTGCTGTCTTGGCAACAGCTTTGTGTCTAACCTGCCGCTCTCCCCTGAGGCTTAGCAAAAGAAAACCCTCCAATTCCACTTGCTCCCAGAAGGACAGAAAAATGTCCCTCCCCACACATTGGCTGCTTACGTCACCTACCAGGGCTGGCACTGGGCTGCAGCAGGTTAAACCCCCACCTACAACGTCAGTATCCCATACTGGCGCATCGGTTCCGGTCCCTGCTACTCTGCTTCTGATCCAGCTCCCTGCTTATGTGCCTGGGAAAGCAGCGGAAGATGGCCCAGGTGCTTGGGCCCCTACTTTCCACATGGGAGACCCGGATGGAGCTACCGGCTCCTTGGCTTTGGCCTGGCCCAGCCCTTGTGACCATTGGGGTGTGAACCGCAGGTGGAAGAATTCTTTTTCCCTCTGTCTCTCCTCTTTCTCTGTCACTCTGTCTTTCAAATAAATGAAGAACAAGTCTTTAAAAAAAAAAAAAGGAAGAAAAATGTCAAATACTACTTTAAAACACATCATCTGCAGCTGAACCACTCTAGCCTTTGCCTCTCACACAAGCTCACTTGGTGATCTTGTTCAGTAGTAAGGCCTCATTCAGGGGATCTGAGATGATGTTTAAGATTCTGCATTTTAGGTGCTGGCCTGGCACTGTGGCATAGCTGGTAAAGCTGCTGCCTGCAATGCCAGCATCCCACATGGGTACCAGTTCAAGTCCTGGCTGCTCCATTTCCAATCCAGCTCCCTGCTAATGGCCTGGGAAAAGCAGTGGAAGATGGCCCATGTGTCTGGGCCCCTGCACTCATGTAGAAGACCCGGTTGAAGATCTTGGCCTTAGCATGGCCCCGTGCTGGCCATTTCGGCCATCTGGGGAGCCATGGATAGTCCCTGTCTCTCCTTCTCTGTAACTCTATTAAAGTGAATAAATAATCTTTTAAGAATTTTGCATTTTAATAAGCCCCTGGCCAGTGCCCCGGTGTGATGGTCTCCACTCCAAATTTTCAGGAGCAAGAATTGAGTCCTTCTTTTTGCTTTTGTGCCAGGCTGCTCCTCTTGGAGTTGGGGTGGGAGTGGTGATCTCTCCCAGATCTCCTTCTCATATCTGCTCTGACTTTGTGTTTTTTTTTTTTTTAATTTTTTTAAAAACATTTGCTTATTTATTTGGAAGGCAGAGTTACAGAGAGGAGGAAAGACAGAAAGAGCAAGCTTCCATTTTCTGGTTCACTCCATAGAAGGCCTCAATGGCTAGGATTGGGCCAGGTTGGAGCCAAGGACCAGGAATTCCATCCGGGTCTCCCATGTGGGTACAGGGGTCCAAACACCAGGGCCATCTCCTGCTGCTTTTCCAGGTACATTAGCAAGGAGCTGGACTGGCAGTGGAGCAGCAGAGACTCAAACCAGCGGCCCTACGGGCCGTGGTGGCTTAACTTGCTGGGCTGCACTGCCAGGCCTCAGTGTGATGATGTCTAAAATTTTGTTCTGATATAGTACTAGGAAAAGTAATTGCATCCCCCCGGATGGCTCTGGATGGAAGCGCTCCCGGGGGCATCCTCGCGGAGCCTCTTAGGAGAAGTACGGTAGAGGTAGAGGCGCAGTCACCCTCTCTGCCCCCAGCCTCCTCTAATCTCACCCTTCTCACAGCTGCGAGATTCATTGATAGCGCTCTTTGAGTGCATCCAGAGCCTGGCCCTGTGCCATAGTAGGAAGCCAACCCTGGGCCCTGTCCAGGTGCCCTGTGCCACAGAGAGGAAGTGGTAGGGGCAGAGGAGGGGTGCAGCCGGGGGATCTCTCCCCTCAAACCCCAGTCCCTCCCCTCCCCCCTCCCCGCGGTGATGCAGGATGCATTCACACAGGGGAGCCCTGGAGCCTTGAGCGCAGAGCTGGACCCTTTCTCCTCCTCCCTCCTGTGTCGCCAGCAACTGCTGCTGAAGGGGAGGAATGGCGGCAGACAGGCACGCTAGCATCCAGCAGCGGCAGGGTTCTCACTCTGTGTCAGCCTGGCATCCGTGTTTACCTAGTGCTCACAATGACTCCGTGAGGTCCATGCTACTAGTCACTCGCGTCCTCATTTACAGATGAGAAAACTGATGTCTGGAAAGACCAAGAGGCAGAGCTGGCATTGGAGCCCAGGTCTCTGTAACTCTGGAGCCGGTGGGCTCTATACCCTAGGAGCATGAGCCAGCCGGTGCACCAAGGAGTGTGGGGGATAGGAGCAGGTGACTGGCTGCAGGGGGGAGGGGTAGAGTGTGAGGTGCAGGGGGTGGGCCAGGCAGCCATCTGGGGAGGACGCCTGCAGAAGCAAGCCAGGGCTCTTGTCCAGGACACAGATCTAGAAGGGGGTTCCCTCCGTGTCAACTCTTCCAGGCTGGTCCCAGCCTCCACCTGTCTTCCCCACTTCTCTAAGGCTAAGGTGGGACCACCTGTCCACCCCAACAGACCTCCCCACTCAGGCCGGCTCCAGAAGACACAGCGTGCTGGCGTGCAGGCTGCGTGTCCACTTCTCGCTGGGCCTCTCTTGCAGAAATGAGTGAATGAATGAATGAGAAAGGGGAACACATTTCTTTTCTTAGCTCGGGTCCCTCCTCTCCCCACAGCCGAAACTCTCAGCCCCTCTCCCCACTGAAACCACAGCTTTGGCCAAGGGTCCCCTGTGTACCTCAACCCATCCCCTGGCTCCCTCTTTCTCAGCTCTCAGTTCCCTCAGCTTCTGCAAAGCTGGAAACCAAGGTGGTGAGTGCCCCCACAGGGGCGCAGGAGAGGGAGGGCCTGGGGGGGGAAGCGGTTCCACCTGGCGGGCACCACCCCCCAGCCCAGGCCAGGGCCCCCCCACTGGCCCCTGGTGAGAATTTTCTGCTGATACACCCAGATCCTAGAGCTGAGAAAACAGTGAAGCTAAAACTCAGGTGGGCGAGGGAGAGTCTGGGGTTCTGAAAAGCCATGAAAGAGCCAGCCACCCGAAACCCCCTCCCGCCACCCCCGCCACCCCCGCAGTCTGGGACAGGAGAAAGGAGGGGAAACAAAACAACCGGCGAAGGGGGGGGGATGAATCACCAGGAGGAAGCTCTGGGGAGGGGGAGTCCAGACGTCACAGTCACCGGCAGCCTTCCTGGACTCCTGGGCCGAAGCTCCTCCTCTCTAGAGCCAGGCAGCGGCGGGCCCAGAGAGGTGGGGGGGACCCTAGCTGTGGTCCCCAGGCGCTGCCCTGTTGTTCGCTCTCCGCCCAGATGACATCTCCATCCTCTCTGAGCCTCCCAGCCCCAGGGAAGGTGCTGTGCTGCAACAGCAGCAGCAGGAGGAGTGCAGGTTAGACTTCAGGAAGGACTGGGAGTGAGGCCCCAAGGCTGCCTTCCCTGGAGAGCCCTAGCTTGGGAAAGCCCCTGCTCCCAGTTAGCTTGCGTCAGTGGCTGAGGCAGGGGACGGGGAGAGTGGCAGGGTAGCTACTATGCCAGTGCACAACTTTTCACCGTGATGGGATAGGCCAGGACTCTCCAAATTCTAGCGCCTTGGGCTGGCGGTATCGGGGTTTTCTGTTAGGAAGGTGAAGAAAGTTAGCTGTGAAGCTCCTTGGGGGTCAGAGTTCTTCCTGGCCCACTGCTCCCCATGATCAGGCCCAGACTTAAGAAACAAAGATCGGGGTGCAGCAGAGTGCATGGACACCCCCGCCCTCCGCCTCCTCTTCCAGGCCCAATGCCAGGCCACAATACCTGCTGGCTGCACACTGGCCAGGCCCCTGAGGGTGACATGACCAGGCCACACTCCCTCTGGCCGGCTGGGAGTCTCTTTGGATAATGAACACTTCCTCTCCCCGTGACAGCAGCAGGTCACCCCAGAAGCGGGCCTGCACTGCCCTGCTCAGCACCCCCCTCCTTGCCAGCCCCTGCTTGCTTAGACCCAGTCCACATGGAGCCTGCTGCCCGTCCTGCCAGTTCTTCCTCTCGGCCTCTCCCTGTGTCTGAGTGCCTTGGGTGCACTGCTGGGCCCTGGTGCCGACTCCGGGCCATGCGTGTCCTTGCTGCGGGCACTCCTGGTATCTGTCCACCCATGTCTCTGTCCAGATCTCACCCTCACCCTGCAGGCTTCACAACTCTGTCCTTTGAGGCTGACTGCCACAGCCCTCCATTTTTTTGTCCCGCCTCTGTCCCTGGCTCTTGGGGTGTGTCACAGTCCCACCCAATGTCTCTGCTCCCCTAGCAGTGGTTGGATGGGCTGGTGGTGCCAACACTCATCGGGCGAGTGGTCTGATGTCTTGGGGCCATGAGACAGACGTCAGTGACCAAGGACCAGGAGCACTGACCCCCATGCTAGAGGAGACCCGTCTCTTGTCTACCAGCCGGGGCAGAACCAACGTAGAGCTGCCCAAGTGCCTTCCTGGCCACTGCCGGGCCCCAACCCCTGCCGTGCTTCAAGCACACCCAGTCACTGCATCCCAGGGGTGATTTGCAGATGTGGGGCCATTTCTGGGAAGACCAGTCCTTGCTGCTAATGGGGAGAAGCTCAAAGGAAAACTGGCCCCCCCCCCGGCCCTTCCCTTGTGTTTGGAAGCGTTCACTCTCCTCCCTCTTCCTGCTCACCCACCCAGCTCACACCCCTGCGTGGCGGTCTTGTGCCCCGGCTGCCTGAAGTGGAGCCTCTCTCCTCCTTGGCCTCCTTCCCTTTCTACCCTGGGTGAGAACTGGGTCTCCTTCCTCCCTGTGGGAGTGCCTCACTTAGGGCCCCCGGGGCCTCTCTTGGCTCTTGGGCCCTTGGAACGGGAAGTCTGCCGAGCTGGGTCTTGCTGTTCTGTCTTGTGTTTAAATTCAGCTGCCTCGCTTAACAGCGTGGAGGCCAGGGCCCAGGAACTCGTCTGGGGCTCCACGGCTAGCCGGGACCAGAGGGGTCTTTCCAGAACTCAGCACAGCAGCCTTTTGGTAGCGTGTGTGGGAAGACTCCAGGGTGAAGCTGCGGCTGGCTCCGTCCTCAGGCCACAGGGCATGGATCGTCCCTTTTGCTCCTTCACCCCCTGTACTGAGAGCTCCTCTTACGTGAGCCTGGGTGGATGGATCGATTTGCCCACCTCTGCCCTGCTGCATGGCTCAGGGACCCCAGCCAGGAAGGGAGGGCCCAAGGGCCTTCTGCTGCCATATCCACTGCCTTGGTCCCCCATCAAAAGGGTGAGAGCCCGTCTCCCTCTGTCTCTGTCTCTGTCTCTCTCTCTCTCTGCTCTCTCTCTCTCTCTCTCACACACACACACACACACACACACACACACCCCATACGCTGGCTGAATTCTACCCAGTCCTCACGTTCCTGGCCAGGCAGAAAGTGTGGTGGCTCCGAGGCCTGGATGCTAGGATCTGAGCCTGGCTGCCGGCTGCCCTCAGTTGCTTTGGGGCACAGCGACTTGGCTGGCCCCTCACAAGCAGGGTGGAGGCCGGGAGTGACGGGCCGCCAGGGGGCCGGGAGCTGCCAGTGTGGAGCCCCGGGCAGAGCGCTCCCCCTGCCTGCCTGCCTGTCTCTGTCAGCTCTCAGAAATTCTCCCCAGGACACAGGACCTGGGAGCCCCTCCATGGTCCTTCCTCCCTCCCCCTGCGTCTGTAGGGGAGCTGCCTGGGGGCTGAGACTTCCCCCACTGCTCCACTCATCTCCCAACCAGCCGGAGACCTTGACCGGGACACACCCTGCCCGGGGAGGCGCTGGGCCTTCTCACACTGCGTCCAGGACACCCGCCCTTTCCCGCGGGCTCAGGGATGGCGAGGGCTCCAGGTTGGCCTGCTCCCAGGTGGCCCGTTCACTTACTTCTCATGACTGAGCCTGGGCTCCCGGTCCTTCTCAGCGGGGGTGCTCCAGGGACGGGGCACAGCTGGCAGCGCAGGTAGGGGTGAGGCCCTCTCCACAGCGCCTCAGCCCGCAGCTCTGCACCCAGCTCTCCCCCTGTGCTTCTGGGCGAGGGGTTTATGTTCCGCACCACACAGGTGGCCAAGTGACAACCCCCCTCCCCGCGCGCCCCCCCCAGGGGTGCAGTGGGTAAGATGACAGGCGCCCCGTGTGGCCAATCTGGGCCTGGGGCAGAGTGTGAGGGGCGGGGCAGCCAATCATAGGGGGCGTTGGAAAATTCCAAAACCACATGTGACAGCCACACGCGGTAAAAGCTGTTTCCACCCACCAGGGTAGCTCTGGCCGGGGAGCTGGAATGGAGCTCACACGAGCCTGGGGCCGAGCTCCTACTCCCCTCGCCCTAGGGACCCTCGAGCCTGATCCTGTCTCCCGGTGACTCCAGGGACAGGGATGTTCCAGAGGTAAGTTGCAGGACATCTGCCTAGGGTGGTGGCACCTGCCACCCGAGACCCTGCAGACCGATGGGCCAACAGCCGTGCCCAGTGTGGTGTGGTGTGGTCCGGGAGGCTGTCCCCTCCACTCCCCGAGCCCACGCTCCTCCCGACAGATGTGATGTGTGTGCTGGGATAGGGGAGCCACGAAAATAACAGTGGTAGCAAGAGCTGCCAGGCAAGCGCCCACAACACGCCGGAAGGCGGGGGTCCCACAAGGAGTGCCCCAGGACAGGTAATCACAGTCATCATCATGCCTTCCTCTGTACCGGGGACGGATCTGAGTGCTTCACGTGTGTAAGTTAAGCCTCACAAAATACTTGGCTACCATTATCCCCACGGCAAAGACGAGGAAAGGGAGGGCCAGCGCTGTGGGCAGCGTAAAGGCTTAAATCACACGGGCGCCTGTTCAAGTCCCGGATGCTCCACTTCCGATCCAGCTCCCTGCTAATGCTATTGGGAAAAGCATTAGGTGGTCCAAATGCTTGGGCCCCCGCTACCCATGTGGGAGATTCCGATGGAGTTCTGGGCTCCTGGCTTTGGCCTGGCTATTTGTGGCCATATGGGGAGTGAATGAGTGGATGGAAGATCTCTCTGTCTCTCTCCCTCCTCCTCTCCCTCTGCTTTTAAAATAAATAAATAAATTGGTCAAAAAAAAAAAAAAAAGGATGAGGAACATGAGGCACAGAGAGGTTCGGTAACTTGCCCAACGCCACACAGCTATGAAATGTCGGCGTCAGGATTCAAGCCCAGAAAGGTCCCGCTTGAGGGATGGCAAGGTTTCTCTGGTTCAAGTGCTTCTGAGAACATCAGCTTGGGATGCCTCCTTGCCTGTGACTCCCTACAGAGTTTCTTGGCCTGGGGTCATTCTGAGGGAGCCAAACGATTTCAGAGGCCCCTGCAGCTTTATATCTGCTTACATCAGGCCCCCTCTTAGTCGGGGGGGGGGGGTTCTCTCTGGCTTCCTTGTCTTGGACTCTTGGACCCCATCTTGGAGTTGTCTCAACTTGGGGGCCATTTTTCAGTCTCGGCCTGGGAGCAGGCTTAGACTCTCCTGGTTCTCCTAAGACATCTCTGGTTTTGCCAGGGTTCTAGCAGCCCCTCAGTCGAGTCCAGCCTTTCCCTGCTGGCCTGCCTGCAGAAAGGAAGGAGGGGGGGCAGTCAGCTTGGCTCCTCATGGGGACACTCGTGGCATGGGGGTAGGCAGGTGGCGGAGGACCCAGAGGCTGGGAAGGGGATGAGGAGGTATGGACCTGGCCAAGGTTCCTGCGGTACAGGGTTAAGGGTGGGGATGGGCTTTGGCCTCTCCTAGTTCCCACTGTTCCAAAAGTCCCCCTTCTCCCCCCACCCACATACCCACATATGGTCCCTGACGGCCTCCCCCAGCTCACGCGCGTCACTCCCTGACCCGCTTTCCTTCCAGGGCACTGCTCAGCATTTCCGTGGGGCCCTGTGGCTGGGGCAGGCGAGGCACGGTCAGCATTGTGCTGAGCAAAGCAATCCCCCCACCCAGGAAGGTGCAGCATGCTAGGCGGGCCCCCTGCCCCTGCGTGCCCGGCTCGGGCAGGAGGGCGAAGCTCGCTGTCTGAGCTGCCTGTGCTCCGGACAGGGAGGCTCCGGGTGACCCTGGACGCGGCAGGGATGGCGCTGAGCATGCGGGAGGGACTGGCGGGCCCTCCCTTGATTGAGGGCCACAGAGCATGGAGGCGGCCTCGCCTACTCCAGAGAGGTATTCCTTAGTTCTTGCACCGGCAGCCAGAGGCTGGCACATGGCCCCAGAGGGGTGTCGGTTTTGGGCTGAGTGGGCGCGTTTTCTGGGGGATTCGCCTCTCCTGCCAACTCGGAGAGTCAGTGTCATGTGCTGAATGGTCCCTAGAGAGGATGCTGGCTTTAGTGTCCACGGGAAGTCCTCCCTGAGCTCTAGCCCCCTTCTCATATGCCACAGTCTCCATCACACAGGGCTCCAGGGCACAGAATTTCCTACAAAAGACCGAGGCTCTCCTGTTCTCCGGTCCCGCACAGCCTGGCTCCTGGCTTGTTCACACATCAGGACGTGTTAACCACACCAAACCTAGTGCTGCTGCCACAAAGCCTGGTGCACGTTCCTGGGCCTGCCAGCACCACACGCGCCATCTCCTTGGCTTCCGCCCCGGCCCCTCCCGGCTGCCGTGCCTCTGTCCAGCACCTCTGTTCCCCGTTCTGGGTTCCTTTTTCTTCTGTTCCCTCCCTGTTTCCTTACAGTGTCGCCTCCATGCGCCAGGCCCCTTCCTTACCGGCTACTGCGTCTTCACCTGTCCTCTTCCATCTCTGTTGCTCCCCTGTTCCCCCCACCCCAGGAGAGGCCTCTCGCGGGCCCCTGCCTCTCTGCCTGCCTCCCCCACCTTTTGCAACCGCTGTGCCTTTCTTTCATGCAAACCTCCCAGTCTCTGCTGAACGCTTCTCCATCTCACCACCCTGCGGCCCCATACTCACAGGTGTGGGTCCTCTTTGCAGCCAGCAGCTCTGTGAAGAGAAGACAGACGGTGAGGGTGGGGGTCAGACACTGAGGACCTTGGGGGCTGAGATGCTTCCCCCCTCCCAGGGTCCCCTCCCACCGCAGTCCCCCCCAGCAGTGCCAGGCTGGCATCTGAGGAAGTGGCCACGCTCTGGGCCCTTCACCCATGCTGGCCCTCTTCCAGGTCCTCGGAGCCTCTGGGACTTCCCCAAGCCACTCCCGCTGCCTGGAATGCCTGTCTCTGCCACACCCCTTCATGAGGCAACTTCTCTTTGCTCAGGTCTTCCCTCTTCCTTGGAGACGCTGTCCGTGCCCCATCCCCAGCCTCATGCTTGCACGCCCAGCACCTTGCACTTGATTTCCTGGCCCTTGTGACGTCACCAAACCACCACAACTGTCTTGTCATCTATGAAGTGGGGCTTTCCTGCTGGACGCACACCCGTGGGAGCAGGGCCCGTGTCTGCCTGGTGCACCTTGTCACTCGCAGAGCCCTCCAGGGCCCGGCACATCACAGGTGCACGGCGAACACCCTGCAGTCAGGGTTACATTGCTGTGGAGGGAAACCTCTTGATCACTTACACCTGCCTGAAAGCACTGGGGTGTTCCGGGGGCGTGGGGCTGGGAGCAGGGCAGAGGTGCAGGGGGGCTGCATGCACAGGCCCCTCTCTGGCTTCCATGGGCCAGCGTCACTGGCCCACGAGGTCAGAGGGAGGAATCCCTCTGGCAGGGGCAGTTGGCAAGGTGGCCAGTTTACCTGGGACTGCAGAGAGAGCAATGCTGAGGGCGGAGCTGTACCTAGAGCACACTTAGGGGTGGGGCATCGTCCATTCACGGTTAGGGTAGGAAGCCCCTGGGAAGTGGGAGGCTTCCCCTGCCAGACTTTGGTCCCACTCCGACACCCACATAACAGCTCCTCTGGAGCACAGGGCCGGGCTAGCCTCTCTAGCCTCTGACTCTGTCCTGTCCAAACCTGACACACACCACCATCCCAACACCACGCTGCCTGCCACATGCCCAATCCCTCTGCCCAGGAGGCGCTGGGGTGGAGGAGGGGAAGGGCTGCCCGGAGGAGGCGTGTCTCCACTCAGACCCACCCCTCTCCCCCGCTGATTCCGCCCAGCCCCAGCCGGCTTCCTCCCTGACGTGGCAGGCCTGGGCCCTGCACCTCCACCTCTGCGCAGCGCTGGGTTGGGAGTGCCCTCTCGCTGGCCGGGGCAGCTGAGCTCTTCCTCCACTAGGTGGCCCTGGCACTCACACCTGAGCCCGCGCATGGCCCTGAAAACCCGCTCTGAGGGATTCCTAAGTTAGACCGTCAGGGAGGCCAAGGATTACCTGACCCTCTGTCCCTCCCTGCCTATGGCCCAGTGCCCCACAATCTCTGTGGAAATGAAAGCCCACACCTTGGGCCAGCAGGCAGAAAGGTGCCAGCCCAGCGGGCATGGGCCCTGGCAAGGTGTTCATCCCCCTCCCCCCAAGCCCGTCACTCCCTAATGGCAGGACAGGTTCCTCCACTGGTGGATGAATGGTGGGGCGAGGGGGCAGGCCCCCAGCCACTGCTGCCCAGGGTCGTGGCCAGCCCAGGTCCGTGGAGCAGTGCCCCCGCCATCTCCCAGGGGCTGGCTCACTTCTGTAGGGGGCGGGGGTGGCTGGTGCCCTGCGGCCTCCCTCACTCTGCACTTCTTCCCTCCTCCTGCCTTAAGACCACCTTGTCTCTTCCTTCTTCACTTCTCTTTCTTCCTTCTTGATGCATTTCCTGTTTCTCCCATCTTCCTACCCGCTCAGTCAGTCCCCCAGTCCCTCCTCCTGTCTCTCTGTTTCCATCCAGATAGTCGTCTCTCTCCCACTCCCCCTTGCCCATCCATCCCTCCCTCCTCCCAGAGCTCCGGTCCCTCCCGCCTCACTTCTTGTCCCGTCTCTTCCCATCTCTCCTCTCCTCTCCTCTGAGTCTCCGGGCCGTCCTGTCCACCTGCCTGCAGGGCCTTGGGGCTCCTTACCCCTCGAGGCTCGGTGGTGTCTCTGTGGGGCTCTGTCCATGGGGCAGCTCCCTTGGTGCTGTCCTTGCTGCCCTGGCTGCCCAGGAGGGCAGGGAGCAGGGCCCAGGGGAGGGAGGAGGGGCAGGGAGGGAGCACCTGGCCCGTCAGCAGGCAGGGGAGAGGAGTGGCTGGCAGAGCGTCCTGGCACCAGGAAGGGACATGGGGAGAGACCATGGTAAGAAGTTTGGAGTCTGCAGGAGAAGCAAGGTTGTGCAAAGGAGGCATTTACTCATCACCTCCTGTGCGCCCAGCCCCGTGCGTAAACCCACGGCTTTGCTTTGCACAAACCCTCATGGTACACACCATGCGCAAGCGTCGTTATTCCAGATTTACCAGTGAGTCCAGTGATGCTCCGAGAGACATGTCCGTGCCTTGCCCAGGGCCTCGCACCAGGACAAAAAGCGGTCACGCTATGATTTGAACCCAGGTCTCCGTGGCTTCAAAGCCCTTTGGTTCCTACTGGACTGGGACAGGTTGCAGGGCCAGGGCAAGTGGGAAGGAACACATGCTTGGGGGTTTCTGCCTCTTCTCTGGGATGGGGTCAGACTCATCCCAGGAGTTCCTCAGTGTCTGTTTGACCCCTGTCCCTGGCCGTCCCTCCCGGGGACGCCCCGATGCTCCCACACGCTCCTGCTCTGCTGGGGGCCAAGGGTAGGCTTGGAGGGGGGTGTGCAGGCAGAGGAGCGATGGGAGGGGAAGGTGGGGAGAGAGACACAGGAGAGCGCCCAGGCCAAGCAGGCTGGTGCCCAGGCCTGCACTGAAGGGCTCTGAGGGGGCCCAGGGGGGCCAGGCTGCAGCAGATTCTGGGTGCCACTATTCTCCCGCAGGGCCTCAGCCCAGAGTTTGATTAGCTGGGCCTGGCTCTCCTGGTTACCCAACAGGAGGCCTGCTGGCCGGGGGCCAGGCTGCAGCGGGAGGCTCCCTGGCACCTCCTCCGGCTGGTAAACAGCAGAGCAGGAGCCGGCCACGCCACGGCCTCGTGACTTGCCCACTCCCCCCCACGTGGTGCACGTGGCACCAGGCGTGGAGAGGGCGGGCAGCCGTCCCTTCTCTCTTCTGCCTTCCGATCTCAGCAGGCTCGGATCCCGCCCACCCTGGAAGCCTCACTCTGCTACCGTCAGCACCTCTGCTCCTGGGCAGCTCCCAGAGTCCCGGTGGCTACAGCTTGGAGGACAAAGGTTGGAAGTGGAGAAGTACCTCCCAGCCCCTAGGCTAGGGTGATAAGGGGCTGAGGATCGAGGAAGAGGGAGGGGAAGCTCTGGGGCACCTTCTTGTCCTGGGGAGTCTGAACGTGTGTCTGCGTGTGTCTGCGCCTGGATGGCTCCGACTAGGCCTGCGGGGCACCCAGGAGCACTTCACTGCACAGAAGTGGGGGGGGGTGTCTGTTTGGGGGCTCTGCCCCTCAGGCAGATTTGGGTGAGAGGAGCAGCTCTCCTTGACCCTGGACCACGTAGAGCCAGCCAGTGGCAGCAGGGGTGCGGGGTAGTACCCCGCTCTTTTTTTTTAGTTTTTAAATATTTATTTATTTATTTTTATTTTTTGACAGGCTGAGTGGACAGTGAGAGAAAGAGACAGAGAGAAAGATCTTCCTTTGCCATTGGTTCACCCACCAATGGCCGCCGCACCGCACTGATCTGATGGCAGGAGCCAGGTGCTTCTGGTCTCCCATGGGGTACAGGGCCCAAGCACTTGGGCCATCCTCCACTGCACTCCCTGGCCACAGCAGAGAGCTGGCCTGGAAGAGGGGCAACCGGGACAGAATCCGGAGCCCTGACCGGGACTAGAACCCGGTGTGCCGGCGCCGCAAGGCGGAGGATTAGCCTAGTGAGCCGCGGCGCCGGCCAACGACTCTTGTTTTCCATGCCTGTCCAGCTCTGCTCTCTCTGGCCCTTCTTCTGCAACGCTGGATCCCCCAGGCTCCTCCTGGCTCGCCCCACTTGCAGACAGAGCGGAGCTGATGCAGAACACTCGCATCCCCAGATGGGTGGGGTGGGGAGGAAGTGCTGGGGGCGGGGCTGGTACGATAGGGTCTGGCCTCCAGGACCACATCTCCTTCAGCATTCTCAACTGTCCACCACTTCCCTGCCCTAAGCATGGATGGCTTAGGTTCCTTCTCTCCAGGGCAGGAAGGCTCCCGGGTTATCCTTTTGGGAAGTCCCCCTCTTGCCTAACCTCTGTCCCTCTCGCTGCAGTCACAGCCTCCTCTCTGGAGGAATCGGCCCTTTCAGCAGGGCAGTGGTGAGTTCCTCCTCCAATACACTTGCACTCCTGTGCAAGCAGGCGCTGATAGGGATCGGAGTCATCCCCCACCCCTCCACGTGCCCAGTCCCCTTATCAGGCAGCGGAATCTCAAAGCAGGGGGGCAAACAGCCTGGAGGGGGTGGGAGGAGGCGGTGGTGGCTTGGACCTGGGGAGCAGTTACCAACTTCTCTTTCCCTTCCTCCCCACCCCTAAACCACAGAAACCACTTAAAGCTCAGCACAAGCCTGCCCTTCCAGGGGGGGCGTGGGGGGCAGAGGGGAGACTACACGGGGCCTGGCCGCCTGAGGAGCCACACCTGGCCCCAGCCCCGTCCTTAGGGTGGACATCTCATGTGCAAGCCTCACCCTGGGTCCTAGGGGGCTCCCTGCCTGGGGAGACCCAGGAGTCCCTGGAGTGACTCAGGGAGGGGGCTGTGCTGCCATCGTTAACAAAAAAAAAAAAAAAAAAAAAAAAAAAAAAAAGAGGACAACCCCAGCCCTGCAGATGGCCTGGCCTCCAACCCCCCTTCCTGTGTCAAAGGCCACCATGGGTGGAGGGGACTGTGGGAGTTTGACCCTGGCTCCTGGCCTTCAACTTTCCCTGTGAGCCTGCTTGCACTTGTCATCTATCAATTAACATTTATGGCCACAAGGGCTTGGAGGTCATCAGGAGGGTCAGAAAGCGGCCAGAAAGACTTTGTAAGCCTTTGCCAGCCGTGGGCCCCCAAGCAGCTCCCGGCCCTCAGCCAGCACATCGGTAGGAAACATTCGGGCTCTCGTGTGTTCCAGCGCCTGGGGCCGGGCAGCCTGCACACAGAGGTGGGTGCTGGGACTTCTTCCCCCCAGCCCAGTCCTCCCAAGCATCTGGGGCTTTGGCCAGGGGCACCCTCTAGGAACTTAGTGGGCCCCCATTGGAAGGCCCAGAGGGCTGCGAGCACTGAGCGAAACTGTTCCCGCCAGGCCTCTGGGGGGAGGGTGCAGGCGACTGGGTGGAGACAGCAGAGCAGCCAGGGCTGATCCCCAGGTGAATTTGCTCAACCTCCCTTGTCCTAGTTCCTTCTTTGTAGGACAGGATTAACACCCACCTCGGCCAGCGCAGCTGTGATGATTAACATTGATAGCACAAGTAAAGTACAAGGCCTGGTGCAAAGTTCTGTGGCTAAAAAAAGCCGCGTGTGCCTCTCTCTCTTTCCATGCCTGGCATCTTCTTCGCTTTCTTTGATCATTCCCTTCCCTTCCCCGCTTGCTTTCTCTATAACACAGCCCATGCAACATTCTTTACAACTCACTTGCTCATTCTCTATCTTGTCTCATCCCCTGGTCTGCTTCAGCCACTCACTGCTGTGCCCAAAGCCTCGTGCTGCATGGATCCTCCCTGTGGGTTTGTTGCGGGTTCTGCCACCGAGAAGTTTCTTTCCTGCGGGCCTCTGAAGTAGAAACATAGCACAGGACTAAGGCAGAACATAGGATTATGGGTGGGCTTCCCAGAATTCACAGGCGTGAACTGCAACCTGCAGGGTGTGAAATGAATGGCGTTAGGCCACTGTCATTCGAGGATGGCCGGGCCCCCTTCAGAGTGACCCCCCGGGGCAGGGGTGGGGGGGTCAGCTGGGGATATTGTCTTGAGGTTACTGCCCTCTTAGGGCCAAAGGTCACACTGGCTAGCAATAGTATGTGCCCCTTTATGGGAGTTACTAGGAGGAATAGTGGTTTGAGGAGCAGTTGGAACAGTTCGTGGGAACAGACACAACGTGTGGCAGGTGGCCCTTAGGATTGTTTAGTCAATGCTGCCACCTGGTGGACATCTGGGGTAAGGTTCCCTGGAGCCTAGGGCCGATAGTGGCGACCTATTCAGGGGAGGAAGGCGCGTGGGGAGCCTTGTGAATGGAAGGGTGTTGTGTATGCGGTGTTAGAGGCCCACGTGCTACCGGACTGCGGTTCTGTTGGCACCCGGAAGGCTTTGCCTTAGAGCAGGCACAGCCGGCACCCCAGGACATGAGAAAGGCGCGGAGGGCGAGGAGAAAGCAGCTGGACTGGCCCAGTGCCTGCCTCCCCTCCCCCTCCCTCCCGAGCCAAGAGCTCCAGGGAAGGTGGAGGGAGAGAGAAGGTCACTGCTGACGTCAGCGACGTGCAGGTAGCAGGCAAACATAAGCTGACCTACATTTTTTCCTCCTCTACCAGCTCCTCCTCCTGGCTGGGGTGGCCTTTTCTGGCTTGGCTGAGCGCAGCTCTCACAGTCCGCAATACCCCTCCTCCCCCGGACCTCACCCACTTCCCAGCTCCCAAAGTGCTGCTCCAGCCTCGCCCCCGCCCAGGACAGCACTGGAGTGCAAGGGACAGGCAACAGGGAGGCAAGGAGGCCAAAGGGCACCGTGTGCCCGTGTGACCGCCCCTGACTCACGCCCAAGACCCAGGAATGTCTTCTCTCTTCAGGACAGGTGGGAGATGGGAGGGGACTGCGCAGGCCCCGGAGCTCCCTGGGTGTTGGCGTTACGACAGAGCTTCTGCTAGGGTGACTCAGTGACGGCCAGGCTCCGTGCGGGGGCAGCAACCTTGTGGCCCAGGGACCCCACTAGGGCCCCGACTGCTGTAGTGGCATCTCTTGGGGATGGAGCCCAGGACTGTGCAGGTTTCACTCGCTCTGCTGGATTCCCTGTGTGTTCTGATGGCTTTCAAGTGTGAGAGGCACCCACCAGGGGAGAGATCCGGCTAGCGACAAATTGGCATTTTATTAGCAAAAATAAATACACGCCGGCAGGTGGAGTGGAATGAGGGCCACGGACGCGGTGCGGATCCCTGGAGGACGCGGTGGCGATCCCTGGAGGAAGGCTCCCCGTCCCACCTCTCCTCCCCGTCTACAGGCTGAGATGGGTTGGCGCCAGTGAGGACCCTGGACCTAGCCCCCCACCCAAGGGGGGCAGCAGGACGATAAGGGGCGTCTCGCACTCCCCCAGCAGCACGTCCCTGCGGAGCCCCGCGCCCCTGTCCAGCACCTTGGCCCTCAGGGTGCGGGCGGCCAGGTCTGGCGGACCCAGCCCGTCGAAGAAGAAGTCCTCGTTGAAGATGGGGTTGACGCTGCACTTGACCACGCGGCTCCGCTGGGCCCGCGGCCGGACGCGGGGCCGCAGCCGCAGCACCACGCAGCAGCCGCCGCCGCCGCTGCCGGGGCCGGGCCGCGGCCGGGGCAGGCCCTCGGCGCTGACCAGGCGCAGGCGCAGCCGCGCGGGCCCGGCCTGGTACTCGGCGGAGAGGCGCAGCTGGCCGCCGCGCGGCTCCAGGCGCAGCACGCTCTCCTTGGTGGGCCGCAGCTGGCAGCACAGGAAGTCCAGGTGGAAGAGCGGCGGCGTGGGCGGCCCCGCGCGGCGCGGCGCGTACGGGCTGGTGTCCGCTGAGCTGGCCCCGGGGGACAGCGAGGGCTGCCGGTGCCGGCCGGGGCCGGGCCTCGGGGAGCCGAAGGGCGATGAGTCGGGCGACGAGGCCGTGTCGCTGTCTGGGGCCCGGCAGAGGCGCAGGTCCGGGGCGGACACGTGCAGCCGGGCCAGAGCCGGGGACAGCCCCGTAGCTGGCGCGGGCCCCGGCGAGTGGAACAGCGACTCGCGCCGTCGCGTGTGCGGGCTCTCGGGCAGGAAGGCCAGGCCTTCGCGGCCCGCCAGGTGCGGCAGCGAGCAGGCGGCGGGGAGGCCGCGGACGCACACGTCGCGCCCGGCATGGGGCTCGGCGCCGCCTGGGTCCGGAAGCCGAGGCGGGATGCAGAACTGCGGGATGCGATCCGGCGTGAGGACGTTGGGGCAGGCGCGCATCGCGGGCGCTGGGCTGCGGCGCTTAGGGAACAGGCTGGAGGGCGCCCAGCGGGCCCGCGGCTCTGCGGTGCCCACTCTGTAGCCCGCCTTCTCCAAGAGCCACATGCCGGGGGTGGGGCCGCAGAGGGCGCTGAGGTGGGTAACGAGCCTCCGCGGCGCCCGGAGGGTCCGAATCCGGCGAGTCGGCCGCGAGGGCGGCGCGGAGCTGCGCTGGGCAAGGAGAGGAAAGAGGCCGCCGGTGGGCGATGCTGCGGGCACACCCAGGCTTTTGTCCGCACACCCCCGCGGGCTGTGCGGCCCAGGAAAAAGAAAGGGCGGCGAAGTCCAGGGGACGGGGGTGAGGGGAGTGACGGGGACCCACGACCGGTCAGTCACTCGCGTTCACAGACGCCCCCACTGGCACCCCCAGGGCCAGAGGGGCGGGCACACCCACTAAAGCCCTCGGGCACGGCTCGTAGAGTCAAGAACCAGAGTTCTGTGGTCACCACCGCGGTTGCTGACCCCGCGGGCACACACGCTCCCCTCGAAGGGACACAGCCCCGGGCGGGCTCAGCGCCCCTCCCCCGCCCACACTGCGGACGCGGGCTCCTCTCCTGACCACTCCCTCCGCTGCCCGGCTTCTGTGGGCGGCCTCGCTCCACCTGCCACCTCTGGCTCCTCCCTCCGGCCACAAGGGGACTCAGATCTGCCCCTGGCCGGCAGAGCACACACCTGGCTGCTGACCGGAGGACACCCAGGGCCAGTTCAAGGGGACGCACCCTTCGGGGACACGGATCCCACCCCTCAAGGCCCTCTGTAGCGGTGAGCGTCCCGCAGCCCAGCCTCCTAGCTCTGCCGCATCCCGCGTCTGTAGGGCGGAGCCGGGCCGCCCCTCCCACCGTCCACTTCTTTTTTCCCCTAGGAAACCACCGGGCACAAAGGCGGCATTGATTCCCTGCCACCCCAGAGCCCGCTGCGGAAGGCTCCGCCGCGCCGTGCTCACCGCCCCCCTGCGCCGGGCCACCGGGAGTGCGACTGTTCCGTTGATCTGGCTGGGTGCTCCGGCCCACGCCCGGCCCAGTCCTGTGCCCGGAGTGCAGGCCTTACCTGTGGGCGGCTGCTGGGGCCTGGCCTCTGGCCCGGAGGCGCTCGGAGCCCTAGGGGAGCAGCTTCCTCTCCAGCTTGCTCCCCCAGCCCTGTCCTGGGAGGAGCTGGCAGGGGCCTCTGCTGCCTACGTCTGACTTCTTTTCCTGGATAAACACAGCTCTGTCTCTCCAACCATCAGTCTGGCCTTCTAGACTCTTCCTCCAGTCAGAGCCAGATTGCTAGCTGCAAGCCTGCTAGAACTGGACCTGGCCTGCTTGCGGGTTGAGGAGGGCTACTGGGAAGAGGCAGTGGCCACCATCCCTCTGAGCTGCCTGGGGGCCACCCAGCCCCGCCAGGTGAAGCCCATAGCTGTGGCCGCACTGAGCTCATCTCTTACAGAAGTCCCCGTTTTGGGCTCCTGCCCCTGTCGCCCTGCTCTGGAACCATCCCAGTAGCTCCCAGGCAGAGCGACTTGCAGTGACCAGCTCTCTGAATGATACTGGTCCAGGGAAAAAGTGGCCAGGCTCAGGATTTCTGGACATGGAGACGCCCACAGCAGAGCCAGTTCCAGCACGCTCAGGCTGGCCGGCCTGTGCTCTCCATCCCTGGCAGATCCTGGGAAAGCTCTGGCCACCACTGACAAGAAGAGGCCAGCAGCTGCACCCCGGGCTCACCCACCATCCTGCAGTCTCTCCGAAGACTGCAGCAAGCTCATTCCCTCCTTAAGACTGTGGCGAGGGGTGGCGCTGTGGCGCAGTGGGTTAACGCCCTGGCCTGAAGTGCCAGCATCCCATAGGGGCGCCGGTTCTAGTCCCGGCTGCTCCTCTTCCGATCCAGCTCTCTGCTGTGGCCTGGGAAAGCAGGAGAAGATGGCCCAAGTTCTTGGGCCCCTGCACCCGTGTGGGAAACCCGGAAGAAGCTCCTGGCTCCTGGCTTCAGATTGGCACAGCTCCGGCCATGCGGCCAATTGGGGAGTGAACCATCGGATGAAAGACCTCTCTCTCTCTCTCTGCCTCTCCTCTCTCTGTGTAACTCAGACTTTCAAATAAATAAATAAATAAATCTTAAAAAAAAAAAAAAAGACTGTGGCGAAGGCTGCTTCCTGTCCTTGTCCACTTTGCAGGCTCTTCCCCGTCCTGCTCCAGGAAGCCCTCCCATGTGAACTGGGGGCTGCACACCTCAGCACCCCGCACTTCCCCTTGCAGCCTTGGTCACAGGTTTTTTCCCCTCTCCATGTGGTTATTTAGCTTCTGCCTCCCTCACTAGGGGATCGTGAGGACAGTGCTTAGCATTCAGCCGGGATCTGGTGAGTGTATTAATGACGCCAAGGAAGATTCTACCTGAGTTGGCTTGTTCACCCATTCATTGTCTGCCTAACGTGCATCGGGTCCTGTGCTAGGTGTTGCGGTTCATTGACTGGGGAGCTGTCCAAGGCTAGAAACAGACAATAAACGTTGCCGTAGTTTGGATATTAATTGTGGTGTCCCACACAAAGCCATGTGTTAAGGGCTGGGCCCTGAGGTGGTACTGATAGGAGAGGGCGGAGCTTCAGTTTGATTATTTAGGAGATGACTCCCCCGTGGGAGGTCCTTAGGTCACCGGGGTGTGTCCTGGGGATGGGGCTCTCCTCAGAGTGGGCCCAGCTGCTTGCTCTCCTTGGCTTGCTATGTGATCCTTCCTCTGTCCGTGCTGCGCCCCATCCTCCACCCTCACCAGCCTTGGCACCGGTGGTGCCAGCCTACTCTTGGGCTGTGAGCCTCCAAAACCGTGAGCCGAAGTAAATCTGCCTTCCCAAGTAGCTCCTCTCGGCTGTTTAGTTATAGTGGCAAAAACTGAGTAATACAAACATGAACGTGACAACTACCAGAAGACATCGCCCTGAACACCACCCCCACCAGTTCCCCACACCAGAAACTTGGGAACTACTGCAGTATCCTGTCCTGCCCGGCCCGCCATGCACCACCAGTGGCAAAGTCCTGTACTTCTGTGATTTGCCCTTCCTACGTCTCTCACCTTTACGGCTCTGACCCATGCTCCTGCCTTCAGTCTTGCTGATCCCTTCCTGTCGCCCGAGTCATCTTTTTTAAAAGCAAAACTTTGTGTCACTCGCCAGCCCAAACTCTTTAAAAATTCCCAGTGACCTACAAGATCAAGTTGGAGTCTGCGCTGTGGTGTAGTGGGTAAAGCAGCCGCCTGCAGTGCCAGCATCCTGTTTTGGTACTGGTTCGAGTCCCGGCTGGCCCACCTTTAATCCAGCTCTCTGCTATGGCCTGGTAAAGCAGTAGAGGATGGCCCAAGTCCTTGGGCCACTGCACCAGTGTGGGAGACCCAGAAGAAGCTCCAGCCTGGCCCAGCTCCGGCCATTGAGGCCATTTGGGGAGTGAACCAGCAGATGGAAGACCTTTCTTTCTGTCTATCTCTCTCTGCTTCTACTTCTTGGTAACTCTACCTTTCAACTAAATAAAATCTTAAAAAACAAACAAACAAACAAAAAACCAGATCAAGTTCAAGCTCCATCCACAGCAGGGTTTATGAAGCCCCCTAAGACCTGCACCCCTCCCCCCCCCAATCACATTGCTCCTTCACACCTGTGTGCCTTTGTTGCTACCTTTCCTTCTGCCTGGTCCGGCCTCCCCACCCTGCCTACCTGGGGAGCACCACTTAGCCTTTGGGGCTTAGTTCAAGTGCAGTGTCGCCTAGAAAGCCCTCTGTGATTGCTTTCAGGGAATCAGAGGACCCACACCGTGCTGGTGGTGGGAGCGGGCGGGGGTGCTCGCTGTGAACTCAGGCATTCCCGCTAAGGCCGGGAGCTCTGTTTCCATCGCTGCATGCCTGGCGCCTCACCCCGTGCCTGGTGCCGGGCAGGTGCTCAGCAAATGTCTTCTGTTGCGGCTGAATGGGAGGCCCAGGAAGGATTTTGACTTCCAGCTCCAGAGTGGGGCTTTGAGGATTTATTTGCTCAGAGGAAGGTGCCTCCCCCTCCCCCTGCCCCGGCTACCAGCTGCTTCTTAGACCCTGTCCATGCGCCGTGGTGGGGCATGGGCGGAGGCTCTGCTGGTGGCACAGTGACTGTTACTGGAGTGACTCTTCTTCCAGCTGCAGCTGCAGGAAAACACCTGCAAGAGAGGCTGAGCTGAGCGGCAGGAGCCAGGGCCACGGAGGCAGGAGCTGATGAGGTGCTCTAAGCATTTTGCTCCAAATTTCCCATCACCTGGGCCCAGGTAGTGTAGGTCGGGTAACTCATATAGAAAAAAAAGTCCTAGTTGAGGTCTTCATCTGTGTCTCCAGCAGGTGCACGACCCCACCCTTGGAAAGGCCACGCCCAGCTGGGGACTGGCTCCTTAGCATCCGCTCTCCCTTGAGTTGTTGGGGAGTGGGTGGTGGCCGGGCATGGCTGGGGGGAGGGCTGAGGCCTCTTTACCTGAGGACTTGGCGTAGACTATCTGCTGGTCTCTGCTCTGGGTGACACAGGACATGTACAGCTTCTGGTCCTCGATCTTCTCCACTTCAACGTTCAGGACCGCCAGAGAGCCCAGGGGGATCAAGCTAGGGGAGGAGGCAGCTCGGCCCGGCCCTCGTGTGAACCATCCAGCCAGGTGCCCTCTCTCCTCTTCATCCCACCCGGCCTCAGGGACTCCTGGATGGCCCTGGGCTCAAGGCCTGCTTGTCGGATCCCAAAGGTGGGTGGCAGAGGTTGCCTTCTGCCCAGGGACTGGAGGAGTTGCCTGGGGAGGAGGGTGCAGAGCAGGACAGGGGCAGGCAGGGTTCCTGCGCCCCAACTGCCGGACCCCCAGGGCTGGAAAGGGCAGTGAGGACAGCCCGGGCCCCGAGCTTACTTACTTCTTGAACCTGATGCTGAGGCTTAGTGTGAACAGCCCCTCTCCAGCCAAGTAGGCTGTCTTGGAAAAGGTCTCGTCCATGATGGCTGCCAGGGACCCTCCGTGTGCGAACCTGAGGTTGGGGGTGCGGAACAAGGCCAGGGCTGGAGGCGCTGGGCAGACCCGCCTCACTGGGCCTTCCCTCTGCCCTCTGAAGCCACTCCCACCCCTTCAAACACAGATCTTCAGCCTCAGGCTGAAGGAGGAAAGGAGACAGCCGTATCCCCCTGGGACCAAGCCAGTCACGATCAGCTGCGCATGCCCTGCTTTGCTTCAGCACGTGTCTGTAGCCAACGACACCAGCAGTCTCACGTCCCTGGAAGACGTGCTACTGCTTCGTCACCTGCTTGGTGGCAGTTGCCATCACTTGGAAAAGTGCACGCATGTGGGGAATGGAAGGGCTCTGAAGCTTGCCCTGCGGTCAGCCCTCACTCCACCTGGCACCTGCTGGGCCTATGTTTTCAAGACAGGCAAACGTGAAACACAGCTTTCAGGACCTTTGAGAACCTTGGCCCGATGGGCTTCTGGGCACTGCTGCCCGCGCGGGAGGCCAAGAGCCGCTTCAGCAGGGTGCTGCCCGCACTCGCCTTGTCCGAAGTGCGCAGCAGTCTGGTTCTCACCCAGGCCAGCTGCCCTTCATGCCGCAGCCACGTCGTTGTTGCGTAGGTTGGGGCAGGTAGAAAGGCACTGAGCTTTAGACCACAGACAGTTCCTGGTTTTCACAAGTGTGGTCCCCAGCCGCTCCAGGGACCAGATCAGCTGTCCCCGCTGTTCCACCGTGGGCTACCCTCCTGCACCTGCCGCCAGTGGGGTTCCCAGCCCCCTGCCTCCCTTTGCATCTGGTGGCGAGAGCTGCTGATCTGTCCCCTGGAGCGCCCTCGGCTCACCGCTGCCCTCAGTGCTGGGCTGTCCTCTTCTGTCTCGTCAGCTTCCTCTCCGTGAGCAGCCCTCGGCTTCATCCCTGCTGCCATGGGGTTTGCTCTTCAGAAGGGAGGGTGTAATTGGCCCTTGTGGGGCACAAGCCCGTGGCTCCAGTGTCTGCACGCACTAGTAGGGAGAGCAGTGCCCCCACAGAGGCCTCTCTGAGACGGAGGGCTGTGGCTTGTGGGTGGTGCTGACGTCAGTTCTGGATTCTGTTAACCCTGACTGAGCCCCTCTCAGGCCTGGACTCTGAAGCCACGTCAGTCCTTTGTGTCTCTTTGACCCTTGCAGGAACTCCAGCTCCGCCAACAGCCTGCAGTGGCTGGAGCAGGGTTAGGGACGGAGGGGACACACAACCACGGATTTGGTGGCTCAGTGGCCTTAGGCAAGAGACCCAGGTCCAGGCTGACTTCCCTGAGCGAATTCTTCCCTTGGTCTATTTCAAGTTCACGGGCGGCAAAGTGCAGTGGAGGGCTTGGCATTCCTGCTGCTGGATGAGAGTCCCCGATTGCCTGTGCTACCTTGGGCAAGTTACTCTACCTCTGTGTGTGTCTTTCCCCACGCGTTGACATGGGGTTTGAGTAGATGGTTATATGGTGCTGTGTGGTTTCTAAACACACACATGTGGGCCCTAACAGCGAATCGCTCAGTCACCCTGGCAGGTCGATTTTACTGCTCCTGGTTTCAACTAAGAAATTAAAAAACCAAAAGTCAGGGGCTGGTGTTGTGGCACGGTGGGTTAAGCTGCTGCCTCTGAGGCCAGCATCCCATTGGAGCACTGCTTCCAGTCACGGCTGCTCCGCATCTGATCCAGCTCCCTGCTAATGTGCCCTGGAAGACAGCAGAAGATGGCCCACGCACTTGGGCCTCTGCCACCCATGTGGGTGACTTGGATGGAGTTCTGGCTCTCGGCCTCTGCCTGGCCCAGTCTTAGCCTCAGCTGTTGTGGCTATCTAGGGAGTGAACCAATAAGTGGAATCTCTCTTCTCTCTGCCTTTTAGATAAGCAAAATAAATCTTTTAAAAATCGAGCAGAGGTCAAAGTGGTTGCTTGCAGTGGTGGCACAGGGCCGGAAGGCAGGCTCTCCATTCCAGATCTTGCCCCCTTCCAAGTGTACCGTATCCTTCCCCAAGTGACCTCTCAGCTCTCTTCTTGCTAGAAATTCTGTGACCTCCTTATCTGCACAATGGGAACTGAGCAGATGACCCAGTGTGTCCCTGCAGGTCTGGCATTGCAAGGCCGAAGCCCAGTGCCTCCCAGTCCCACCCTGGCTCCTTAGAGAGGCGCCAAGTCCAGGAGGCTGCCTCGGATGTCCACCCCCACCCTGCCTGTGGCCTTACCCGGGGGCCCCCTCTAGGTAGGGGCCTGGCTGGAAAAGACAGACAGACTTCTTCTCGGATGGGTGGAAGAAGATGACATACTCGTAACCTTGCCCTTCCGCTGGGATGCACCTGGTGAAGATGCGCCAGTCACCTTTGTCTGGGGAGAGATGGACAATGTTGCAGCTGGAGCAGGAAGCGTGGGAGTGTGGGACCCAGTGGGGATGCAACGCCAGGAGTACAAGGTCAAGGAGAGAGAACCAGAGGACACGAGTCTTCAGCCTGGGAGCAGAGACACAGCGGCTGTTCTCAGAGGGCCTCAAGGGAGAAACACAAAAGTCCCCCGGCTGAGGGTGGATGGGCTGGAGCAGGGCCAGGTCAGGACTTGGGGAGAATGTTGGCACTGGAAATTCACAGCATCCTTTCTCGTGTAATTCATACAGAAATCAAAACAGTTCTACACAATAAGAAACGCACACAGAAGTCTGATTTGTTTTTTCTCCCAGGATAGCTGTAACAACTACATCCCCTTTTGGAAAGATCAAATTCTTAAAAATAAAATTGGTTTGGAGCCCCTGCTTTGATTGTGCCATAACTCAAGCGTAGGCTGCAGGGGCCCGAGCTGTGGTATAGCTGGTTAAGCTGCCACCTGCAGTGCTGGCGTCCCATGTGGGTGCCGGTTCGACTCCCGGCTGCTCCACTTCCAATCCAGCTCCCAGCTAATGCACCTGGGAAAGCAGTAGAAGATGGCCCAAGTGCTTGGGGCCCTGCAAGGCCTGGAAGAAGCCCCTGGCTTTGGCTTGACTCAGCTCAGGCTGTTGTGGCCATTTGGGGAATGAGCCAGCAAATGGATGATCTCTCTCTAACTCTGCCTTTCAGATAAACAAAAACAAAAACAAAGAAAAAGAAAGAAAAAGAAAAAAAGAGAAGAGTGGTCTGCTCACCGTACCACTTGTTCCCCACTGGACAGGAACCACATATGTGAATGACAGAGACAGGAAAACACAGGCAGGCCAATGGACGGACAGACATACACACATTTAAGGAAAATGAAGGAGGCAGCTCTATCAGTGGGATCCAGCAGGGGTCTCTGGGCCTGGCAGAGCAGGCAGGCTGTGCTAAAGCATGCCATGGACCGGGGGGCCCCCAGGGTTTTTGTGGGGTTGGGGAGGGGCACTTGGGATGGGAGGGCTTGACAGCAAGGGGAGAGGTGCAGGCAAGTCAGAGGCGGGTGCTGAGCACTGGTTCTGCAGCAGGGACGCACTTGGCTGGGGGCGAGGGTGTGCTCTCCTGGGATGGACGCCTGCTCTTCCCACCCACCTGCCTGGAGCTGTGGCATGGGGGGTGCGGCGAGACAGCGAGGAGAACCCCTGGGCGGAGGCCCGGGAGGGAACTTGCGAAATTCCTTCCCAAGGTCCCTGAACACAGCAAAGGGGAGCTGGATGAACCAACCCCCGTGTGCCCTGTGGGGGCTGGGGCGTGGTGCTCCTGGGCCCTCTGGGGCCCGGCCTTACCCGAGGTGACCGCCAACCCCGAGGGGAGCTTCAGCCCCTGGATGTGGTCTCTGTTGGACTTGAAGGAAGGCAGCTTGATCCAGCCGCCAGACTTGGTCTTCTCCAGAAACTCTTGGTACAGGCTCAGCATGTCGGGACACCAGCTGGCATTAGGAAGGGCATAGTCCTTCAGGTCCGTCTTCTGTAGACAGAATCTCGAGATCTGGGCAGGAAAAGTCAGGGGGAGTTGAAAGCACGCTGGAGGGCGGGGGTTGCTGTGTGGGTTGTGGGAGCTGCAGGGCGTCTGTGCCCGGGCTCATGTGCTCTCCAGGAATTTTTGAGAAAGGGCCTGCAGGTGTCTGAGCAAGGGACACTAAAGACAAAAGGGAGGGAGGGAGAGGAATGGGGGCTGACTGGCAGGGTCTGCTGCTCCGTGGCGCTGCTGTCTGTTTTCAGACCGGTGAACAGCTCTATGAGGCTGAGCACAGCTGGTATTAGCCCAGTGTACAGTTGGGGAAACTGAGGAAACACGGGTAAGGTTGCCAGGCTTGTAAATGTGAGAGCTGGTGGGAGGATGGGCCAGTGACTGCCTGGGGGTGGTGGTGAGAGCACCGTCGGTGGGGGCTGCCTTCACAGCCCCTCACCTAGGGAGCTGCTCCAGCTCTGCTCGCAGCCGTCGGCCTGTCTGGGCAGGGTGGGCCCTCGGAAACTTGTCTGGGCCCGACGCTGGAGCAGGCACAGTGTGTCCTCTGCAGCATCAGCTGCTCACACACTCATCCCGGCTGTGGCCAGTGAATGAGCTGCCTGCGAGGACCACAGCCCCAGCTTCGTGGAACAGCCTGGGTCTCGAGGCAGGACAGGGGTTCGCTGCTCAACCTTGTGGCCACACAAGATTCAGACCAGGATGCAGATGTCCTGGAAGTTTGGGTTTTGGGTCTGGGCTACTTTCCTTTGCCAATCAAATGCCCTGCCCCCCAACCCCACCTACCTGCCCCACCATGAGATTTGGGCTCCTTAAGGCCCAGGCTCGCGGGGAAAGGCTGTCCATGTGGCTGAGGTGGGAACTCACTCACCAGGTTGTCCGTGGAGGAGGCAAACGCCGAGGCAAGGTCAAGTCTGGGCAGGACACAGGAGGCCCCGGGGAGGGCTCCGGGGTGGCCGAGCCTTGCTATCGCCTGGACGCCTCTCCTTATCATGGCCAAGCGCCAGGATCCTGAGCCTGCTTGGATCACAGGTGCAGACAGCGAGTGAGCGCTGCTCGGCTGCACCGCAGGGCTGTGTGTGTGCTGTCGCCTTCTCCAAGCCTCTCTACGCTGAGCTTTCTGATCTCCCACTGGGTAGAGCCACGCAGGGTGGATTCAACACCCACAGATGCTCCCGGCCTTCAGCTGGTCCCAGAGCCCTGCCCAGTGCAGGGGAGGGGCTTACGCTGGTTGGATCGAACGAGGTGCTAGGAGCCTGTGAGAGCTGCCTTGGGACTTCTGTGGGGGTGTGGTGGGGTGGGATAACCGGAGAACATTTTGTCCCTGGATCGGAGGATGCTGGAATGTTGGTGGCAAAACTTCTGAAGGCTTGAATATGGCTTGGGGCTCAGAAAATCCCCTGTAGACACGCTGTTCCCTCCCCCCCTTTTAAAAAATATCTATTTTATTTATTTGAAAGGCAGAGTTACAGAGAGGGGTAGAGACACAGAGAGTGAGAGGTCTTCCATCCACTGGTTCACTCCCCAAATGGCCGCAATGGCCATAGCTGAGCGGATCCGAAGCCAGGAGCTTCATGAGTCCCCTATGTGGGTGCAGAAACCCAAGGACTTGGGCCATCTTCTGCTGCTTTCTCAGGCACATTAGCAGGGAGCTGGATCTAATGGAACAGCCGGGACTCAAACCAGCAACCATATGGGATGCTGGTGTCACAGACTGTGGCTGTACTCTCTACACCACAGCACCAACCCCAGACACTCCCTTCTTGTATCCTATACAAGGGTTAGCACAGGGAGGCCTCTGCCGCCTGGCCCTTGGCCGTGGGTGGGAATTGAAGGCAGGGGAGGGCTTGTGTCTGGGAGGAAGCAGCTCGGAAGGGAAGCTTCAGGCTTTAGGAGCCCAGGGAGGAGCAGACAGTGCTAGGAGCAAGGGAGGCAGGCAGGCAGGGGAGGCCAGGAAGCTCGGGTGGGCCTGCAGGGAGCGCTCAGCCCACCTCCGTGAGGTTGTGGACTTTCTTTTGGCGGCGGTGTTGTATCTTCTGTTGAACTAGAATGGCTGGTTTTGGGGCTGGCATTGTGGAGCAGTGAGCTGAGTGGGGGCCTGAAACGCTGGTGTCCTATCTTGGAGCAGCAGTTTGAGTCTTATTTGCTCCTCTTCCAAGCAGTGGGGGACTCACATGGGGACCCACAAGAAGCTCGTGGTTCCTCACTTCAGCCTGGCCCAGCCCCGGCTGTTGCAGCCATTTGGGGAGTGAACCAGCAGATGGAAGACCTCTCTCTCTCTCTGCCTCTACCTGTCTGTAACTCTGCCTTTCAAATAAATAAATAATTTTTTTAAGGTCAGTTTTCTGGGGAAGGTCTCAGCTTTTAATTTACTAAAATCGAGCCTGCTGTGAAGAGCAGAGCTGTGCAAACAGCATGCTGAGGGAGGTGGTGGGGAGGTTTTGACCGATGGAAAGTTGAAGCGTTTGTCTCACCCAGTGAATCTGATTGCTCTAGGGAATTAGAACATTTCCCCCCAGCTACGACGGTTTGAATGCCCCCGGGACCAGGGGAACCAGTTTTTTGTTTGATTTAGTCCTGTTCTGGCCAGATTTTTGAATTGGTTGCCAACTTTTATGAAGTCATATCTGAGGCTCTCCAGGTATGTGAAAATCTGGTGGCAGTGTGTGCATCCCTGTGCGAGCCGGTCACTGGGGCTGGCGCCCTGAGCCCGTGGCCCGCCCAAGCCTTGGTGCAGGGCCTGCCTTCATCCCTGTCACCACCCTATCTGCAGGACCTGGGCTTGGAAGCTAGGACTTGAGGAAAAGACAGGAGGGGAAAGGAAAGAAGCATCCTACAGAGGCAGGCGGCTCCTCAGGTGGCCCTGGAGGCTGGTACGGACCCCAGCACTGTGGCCCCCTCCGCCAAGAGTAGGGGAGCCTGAGCAACACTGGGAAGCCCTGAAGACTGCACCCCCCTGGGGACAACACCCTCCCACTTTAAAAGAAAAGATTTATCTATTTATTTAGAAAGAGTTACAGTTCCATCCGCTCGTTCACTCCCCAGATGGCTGTAATTGCCAGTGCTGGGCCAGGCAGAAGCCAGGAGCCGGGAGCTTCTTCCAGGTTTCCCACATGAGTGCAGGGACCCAAACACTTGGGCCCACTTCCGGTGCTTTCCCAGGCTACTAGCAGGGAGCTGGATTGGAAGCAGAGCAGCTGGGAGTTGAACAAACACCCTTATGGGATCCCAGCGTCGCAGGCGGCAGCTTTACCTGCCGTGCCAAAACACCAGTCCCCTTCCAACTTATTTTGTTTCATCGTTTTTTGTTAAGTCAACTCTCAGAAATTTGCATAGTTATTGAAGATGTGACTCCTGTTTCAGCCTTGAGACACTCAGTTACATTTCTGTCTTGGATAACTTTTAGCTGTCCTTGAGCTGGTATTTACCAAGGTGCAGCAGGACAATGTGGTCTAGGGAAGTGGGAGGGTCCCACCAAGGGCTCAACCTCCACTTTCCAGCTTCAGGAGACAGAAAAGGAGAGAAATGAGGATGTGGCAATGCCTGGGATATTGATGAATGGGAACTGGCTGACAGGTTGCAAATACTTATCCAGCTATCTGAAGGGAACATCTACAGGCAAAACAAGCCATGGGTGTTGTCTGAATTGGTGTGAGCGGTGACAATGAGAGAGGTTGTCTCAGGCTGTCTGGGAAGAGAAAGTTTAGGATTATGGGGAAAGTGCCCTACCCCCACTTTGGACTTTTCCCCACCACCCGCCCAACGCATCAGTTCTTTCTGGGGCCTCCCTGGGTGTGCAGCAGGAGGTCAGTTATCCAGGGAGGTGGAAGCACACTCAGCTGGTGCCTCGACTGGCCTTTGAGACAGCATGGGCTTTGGCCCTGACCCTTCTCCTGGATAAAGGGGCATCTCCCAGGTCTGGACTCTCTGGAGGAGCAATTAGGAAAAAGGAAGAAGGGAGTGGAAAAACACCTCTTAGAGTCCTAGGGAGAGAGAGAGAAAGAGGGAAAAAGAGACTGATCATCTGCTGGTTTATGCCCCCAAATGCCAGTAACAGCTGGGACTAGGCAGAAGCCAGGGCCTGGCACTCAATCCAGGTCCCCACGTGGTAGCAGCAACGATACTTGGGCCACTGCCTGCTGCTTCCCAGGGCATGCATTAGTAGGAGGTTAGAATTGGAAGTGGAGCCGGGACTTAAGCCTAGGCCTTCTGATCTGGTGTGCGAGCATCCCAAGTGGGCATTTGACTGCTGTGCCAAGTGCCCACCCCTCCCCTTGGATGCTGGCTGAGGTTGGTGGCAACTGCTTCATTTCCAGTTGGAACTCACGGGTGATGGTTAAGTTTGGGGGCTTTCCTTACTGAGATATGGGCCTGACTTGGCTGTGGTGAGGCAGGTGGGGTGGCAGTGTGTGGGGGGAGACAGGCTGGGGGAGCTCTGATTCGCCACATTTGCTATTTCTGTAGGGTAAGTATCCCCGCCCCCCCGTGCCTGACTTCAGGCGGCGGATAGGAGCTGGAAATTGCATAGTCAGCTCTCGCAAGCCCGCACACGCTGCACCAGGAAGTTCACTGGTTTCTTCTTAAAGGAGTATCAAGGCCTAGGCGGGCTCGGAAGATCAGTTCTTAGCTCCAGATCTAAACTCACTCCCACTTCTCCCTGAAGACTGACCATGGAGCAGGGCTTGGTCTGCCTAGCCTAGCTTCTTTGCTGCTCCCCAAATTCACAGGACAATTTTTGTTCAAAGGTATTTACTGTTAATCACCAAGAGGAAATGGGAAGTATTAACATTTCCAGAAATCTCGGTGGCCCTGGAAGCCCCTCGCGGCTTATCCTGAGCCGCTGGGGGGTGGGGGGGCTGCCGTGCTGAGGATTCCCGGCAGGTGGAGTGGCTCTGCCAGGCGGACCCCATCTGGCCTCTCTGGATGAGGAAGGGACGTCCCCAGGTGCAGTGGTGAACACCTGGCTCTCCTGAAGACGGCCCTGCGGGCTTGTCCTGGGCAGTTTCCAGAGGGCGCCCAGATGGCTCGTGTCCCTCTCAGTCTATGGCTGCGGGGAGACTTGACTTCTTGTCCCACTTTTGAACTGGGGTCAGAGCCCAGCTGGACAGGAGCAGTGGGAGAAACCGAGGATGCTGAGCGGGGTGGCCCTGGTGCTGCCTCATGCAGGAGGAAGCCGCTGCGATGGAGTGCAGGCTCACCGGCCAGTTCCTCTGGTCTTGCAAGCAAAACTAGCTGTGATGCAGACTTGTATGTGCACCCTGGTAGCCTTTGGATGTTCCAAATGATTGCTAAAGTACTGCAGGGGCCAAGCCAACGTCTCTGGTTGGATCTCGCCCTGTGGGCTGCTGCTCATGTCACCTGGTTCTAGGCTCGTTCCCATGGCCTTTCTCCTCACAATACCTGCTGCCTGCCTGCTTGCATCTCGTCTCTCTGACTGCTGCTCCCGGATGAGAGCCGTCTTCCCTCTGTGGCCCCGGGAGAGAACTCCCCCAGATTCCTCTCCCACCCCCCACCCACCGTGGACCCTTTGTCGAGAACTCAGCCCCCACCAGCTGGAAACTGCTTGGCGGTGGGCTCTGTGCTGCCTCGGGGGCTTGGCTTGATCCTGTTTTTGGTTCTTCCATGGGTGGCCGCTCAGCTTCGGGCGGTCCAGGACTGGCCAAGGACCAGGGAAAAAGACTTGCTTCACAAAATTTTGGGCTCACGGTGTGGAAGCTGGACAGAGCTGTGGTGCAAGGGCCTCGGGCACTCGGGCTGAGTGAAGACTCCCCCAGGGCTGTGCCCAGGGAGGGCAGCAAGGGCAGCGGGGCAGCCGAGGAGCCACTGTGGGCGCTGGCAGCAGCTGCTGAGTGGGCACATGGCTGGGAGGTGGGAGTGGAGAGGACTGACCTCAGCAGAGACCACAGGCCAGGCCCAGGCACCTGAGGCCGTTCCTCAGGTCATAACTCCAACCAGTGCTCAGCTGGGATGACTTTCTGCTTGTGAAACCTAAGAGGCTGAGGGGCAGGTGTTCTGAGCTTGGAGAGCCGCAGTGACAGGTCCTGAAGGGGCGTGTGTGTGCGTGCATGTGCGTGTGCACACTCGGGGTGGGGCTCCCAGGCCCCGGTCAGCTCCACACTTGAAGGCAGCCCTTCCTGGAATTCACACAGGAACTTGAGAGGGGCAC